CCCTTTCCACCATGCCCGACTCCGACGCCTCCCCGCGCAACGACTACGAACGCGAGTTTGTCGCAATGATGGCCGACGTCGACGTCCTAATTGAGAGCATCACGAACCCGCATCACCGCAAGAGTAAGCCCCCTCCTCCCCTTCCCCTCCCTCCTCCTCTCCATCCCTCCCTCTCTCGCCCACTCACTCCAGTTCTGGTAAACTACCGCCGCCACGGCCTACTCGAAGTCGCAGGCCGATACGCCGAGCTCCTCGCGCCCACCATGACCGTCGAAGAGCCGGCATACCGCATCGTCGAAGGCGGCAAAACCACGCTGCTCACGGGCATGGCGCAGGTCCGCGCGTTCTACGAAAGCCTGCATGCGCTCGACATGCTCGTCATGTGGACGGGGCGGCAGCGCATGGCCGTGCACGACTGGGGGTTTGCGGGCGAGGCGCAGTTCTCCCAGTTCGTCCCCGGGCGGATGATGGCGGACAACGTGTTTGCGGCGGTGGGCGGGGAGGCGCAGGCGCAGGCGCAGGCAGAGGGGGGAAATAAGGAGGGAGGGGTGGACCCCGACGCGTGGTATCTCGTCCGCCGCACGTTCGCTTTCGTGTGGCCGTACGCGGCGGACGGGCGCATGATTGGCGAGCATGTGTATGAGGACCCGGCGACCAAGACGGTCGAGAGGGTCGACAAGGACGTGGTTATTACGGGCGCGCGGGCGGCCGTGCTCCTCGCCCCGATTATCGACAAGTACGGCCGGTGTGAGGACTAGTCAGTAGAATGAATATGTCAGAAGGATCCGTACGCGATGCCTACGCAAGGCTGAGATAGCATGCATACTGATGGCTGACTAGGCGCCGAGACGCTCGCGCGCAACGGGAAGCAGGATTGCGAGGGCGCATAGCCCGACGGCGAGGGCGAGGACGTCGCGCATACCCGGGAGGGGCAGGAGGATGTATCCGCCACGGAGGCCACTGCAGCAGCAGGTGTGCGGGGCGGGCGGGGCGGGCGTGTCGGGGATCGTGGGGGTTGCTCCGTCCGTAGGCGGCATGGCGCGGGCGTATGGTCGAGGGAGTGTCGATTGTTGATGGAGAAGGAGAGTGGAGAAGCGAAGGAGGTCGGCGACGCAGAGCGAAGCAACGGCGCGTTACGCCGCCGAAGCGGATCCGACTTTCCCGCCGACGCGGTTTGCGGACTGACGTTCAACATACATCGTACCCACAACGACCGAGGCAAAGATGCTCGCCACCACCACCTTGCATACGGATAGAGTCGGGCTGATGCGTGAGAGAAGCTGGCTGGGCGAGCAATCGACTGATACCGCAGAGTAATGGATTTGGCGGGGACAGGCAATGCTAGTCGTGTGGCGCTGCTCGGCCCATGTCGGTCACAAGCTGCAGACGTCGGGGCACGGCACGAGACGGAGTGGTACGACTCGACTTTCGGTCTCTCGCGCTAGTTCGGGGTGAGACTCGGTCCGATCTCTCCCCCAAAGGCAGCAGCCGCTCACTAGTGATATATGGTCCATACTGGTGCCACCGCCGTCTGTCTTTTGCAGTCCCGCCTACCACCTGCCCACTAAACAGCCCGTGGTCGAGAGAGAGTCGGGGCGTCGGTGATTGGCGCATGGGAGAGGAGTGTGGCTATGCTGTCAAGTACTTGTCCGCTCGTTGGGTAGGAATCACTTTCGTGGTCGACACTGCGTCGTCACGTCGCATGGTGTGCGTCGCACACAGTATCCCGTCGAGTGCTGGCGCACACGCTGAAGGTACCCGGGGAGAGTGAGGCCTCCCCACCTGCTTTCTGCCTCTTGCCGCACGATTTCGTGTTCGCTGGTGGGAAGCTTTGTCTGGCGCTATGGCATGCGACGTGGGCGGACGAAATGTATTTGTATTGTGCCACAAGATCGTAGATTGTGGAGATGAGATTTGGCACTCATTCCGCACCTTACGGCATTCTGGCTTCACTGATTGTGCTAACAGTCGTGGTGGGCAGCACTCCAAATCCGTGCCCATCGGACACGGCAGTGGTCGACGTCGACGTCCACTCTGCTTTGGTACTGACTCACTGGAGGTGGAGTAGATTGCAAACGATGCTCCCACGTTCCCAACAAGACTCCCGCACCGGACGACGACCCATGCATCCCTAACTATTTACACTCCAGACCTTCTACAGACCGGACTAATGCCATGATATGCTAAGCGAAGCGGTGCTATCGCCATTCTATGAACTCTGGGGTCAGCGATGCCAGTCTGTGGTCGACTCACCATGTGAGGAAAATCACGCCTCGACGGCGACCTCAGCAACCTCAACAACCTCGACGACGACATCGTCAAGCTTAGCCTCCTTAGCGTCGGGGCTAGCAGGCAGTGACACGGTCTTGCTCGACGGCGTCCCCGCGCGCGGGCTCATAATCCCAGGGTGCGCCTTCATGAACGCGGCAAAATACTCGTACACGGGCCGCGCACGCGGCGTCGCAAGCGCGATGTACTCGCTCTCGATGTCGCGTGCGAGCGCGGCGATGCGCCCGTCCGTGTCGGCGATCTCGGTCTCGACAGCCGCGACTTCGCGCCGCGCGCCGTCGAGCTGCCGCTGTGCCGCGGCGAGGACGTGCACAGCCTCGATCTGCCGGCGCTTGGCGTCGGCGAGGCGCGTTTGCGCGTCGCGCCGCTCCGCGACGTGCCGCGCCTTCTCTTGCGCGACCGACGTCCACGTCGCGTTCACCTGCGCACGCTCTTCGAGGTGCAGCTCCTTCAGCTGCTCCGCGAACTCGTCGAGCGGGAGCACGTCCTCCTGCGCCTTGAGCGCCTCGAGGCGGTCGGTGATGGAAGTCATTGTGGTGGAGATGAGTAGGTCGAGGTGAGGAGGAGAGGTGGGTGAGACCTGGTGTGGCAGCGGAGGGCTGAGCGTTGGTGGAAGCGATAGCGATAGCAGACCGTCAACTTTTTATGCTGCACCACCCCGTCCTCCCCGCCTTCTTATGCGGCCCGTGCCGGGGCGAGTCGCCACTTGGATCGCAGACGAGATAAGAGACGAAGCAGGTGCCCCGGCGCGGCACGCGCTTGGGCCGCGCGCCGCTGCGGTCCAATCGCGGAGTCCCGCGGCTCGCAGTGCGCTGTCTGAGCGCGGCCCCGCATCTCGCGTCCCGCCCCGTGCCCGTTTCGTGCAGACGAGGGCACCAATGGTGAGCGCGCGCGAGATAACAGCAGGCCGAGGTGGAGCTGGTGGAGGCCGGAGGAGGCCTTCCACCACTGGTTGGGGCGAGGAGTCTGGGCCGAGGAGAGGCAGCGGCCCCAGATGCCGTCGCGTCCGAGTCAGCACGGCCCGAGTCATCTGCCTGAATCAGTGCAAGAGAGAGCACAAGTGATGTCAGACGTAGCGGGTATCCGGACAGTTCCGCATTGCATACCGCGAGCGGCGGGAGTGGAGGTGGGGTATCCGATCATCGCGGGTCGTCGGTCTTGTCCGAGAGACGGCGGTGGAGGCTGACCTGTGTCATGTCATCTGGAGTTCTCGACGGCCTTCGGGGAATAGAACAAGAGAGGTGGACCTGAGGTGGTTGGGAAAATTTGTGCGCACGACAGGCGGTCAATGGCGTCGGTCGAGATAAGAGATTGGGGCGTGCGACGGGCGGTGATGGTCACAGAGATCGCGAGGGCGACGTCCGGCCTGACTTGGGTTTCTCTACCCGCCATCATTGATTATGTGACAAGGAGCATGCTGCAATATCTGCAGAGTTGCTGTACATGGCAGTGTTTGGCAGTCATGTATACGTACGCGGAGACAGTTGAAGGCTTGAGAGCGTCGCAAGGTCACGTGATCTAGATCAATTCAAGATCGGAAATGCTCAAAATGCTCGCCTTTTCACAGTCTAGGGCATCGCGGCCATCTTCAAGATTGAAGGGAGACACTTTCAGTACTAACGGCAGGTTGCTTCGGACTGGGACGGGAGGCTGTGAGACGGTGTCCGGGTCAATGCTGACCCTTCAACGTCGGACAGAACGGCACGCCAAGGAAACTTCATCGTCCGAACAGCGATGCATGTGGCGTTGGGACGTGACGGGTGCTAACCAGCCTAGAACTCCCACTAGCTCGAGACTCATTTCATGTGCTAATGCGTCTACGTAGCGACGAATGCAGGCACGCCAGTGGATTGAGTCAGCCCTACTCCCACCGAGACAGGGAACTGAATACGTTCGCAGAGACACAGCAATGAGACAATGAACAAGAATGCCTGAGATTTTCGGATGGCGGGATGAATGCATAGAAGCTTGTTGACATGGACACGGTGGCAACAGATCAACAGCAACTATCGCATAAATTCTCCCACTTCCACCCTCCTTCTCGCCGTCAACATCCAAGTCAACACCCGAAGTCAAGCCCACCATGACCAACTCGCTGAAGTCCGTCGCGAGCTCCGAGAAGACCGACCTGCCCGCGCCACAGGCCGAGGACAGCGGCGTCTCCACCTCGCTCTTCTGCTTCCGGCGCAATACATGGTCCAACACCACCAAGCCCCACTCTCGCGGGAGCATCAACAAGATGACGATCATCGGCCCGATGAGCGACGGCTTTGCGGCCATCCAGCCCCAGGGCGCGGCCCCGCCGCGGCCGACGTCCATCCCCCCCTCCCTCTCAACCACCTTCACGCTGCTCAACACAGAGGACGAAGACGCCGTGGCGACACATGCGGACCTCCTCGCGCAGCTCGCGCGCGCGCATGCCGAGATTACCGCTTTGCGTAGGCGGTATACCATGGACCTCCGCGAGAGCAATGCTGTCAAATACGCGTTTCGGAGCCGCGTGCTCTACCTTGAGGACGAGGAGAAGAAGCTGCGGGCGACGATAGAAATCATGAAGGAGCAGGAGAAGATGATGCAGGCTCGCGTGGCGCAGCTCGAGCGGGAGCTGCGCGGAGGCAGGATATAGAGATATGACAAGCTTTCTGCGTCTTTTGCCATTTCGGATGAATATACACTTTTTCAACCCAAACCGAGTTAACACTGAGTATGCATTGTGGGTTGGCCATCCCTCGTCATTGCTCACATCGCTCTGGAATGAGGACGATGCAGTCGAGCATTTGATGCATCACGGATGCGAAACAGCGGCTCGCCGCGTTTCAGTGTCACGCCGCCATCACCGAGCGATGGATAAAGCGCCTGTCATCCTCTAGTTCAGGCATCAGCCGCAATGTTCAGCCCCAAGCGCGTGCGGTTTGCCGAGCCTGCTCCCCAGCCCATGCCCCTACAGTGCCGCCGCCCACACGTAGGGAGTACGGCAGCCGACACACCCGATACACCATGACACCGGCTCCGACACCTACGCCCAAGTTCGCGTCTCCACAGTCCGAGCCCGCCACGTCCGAACCCTCCAATTTCGAGCCGGCATCACCCCGCACGCTGCCCGCCCGCTTGGAAGAAAGAGACGTGGAGCTCCAGGCAGAGAAAGTGGCTTATGGAACGCTGCAGAAGCGCTACATCGCCCTTGTGCGTGCGAAGCAGGAGCTCGAGCAGGCAATGTTCGACTCGTCAGGCAGTGACGAGGAGAACGAGGAGGAGGCGGATGACGAGGGTGGATAAAAGGGGATTGTCGAGGCGAAAGATGGGAGAAAGATGCGGGAGGCAATGGAGGAGGAGGAGAACGAGGACGCCACACAGCCGGACGATGTCCGCTCGGAGGCCGCCACCGCCCTGCAGCTCTTACATACGTCGCACTTGCCTGCGTGGACGATCAACGCCGAGGCGGGTCCCTCGGCCCGCACCGCTCCATCGAATCAATCCGGCATTGATGTTCCATATGTCAGTCCAGTCACAGTCCCATCACCAACCTCCGTGTGTTTGATGAACAACAATGAAAACTCGATGTTGACACACATCAAGTCAGCGGCAGGGACTGTTTGGTTCGAAGGTGATTAGAATTGTGCTTTCATTCACCCCATCTACCTCTCTTCATCTTGTACTTACATCTTCTAACATCATCCTCACCGCTATTTGCGAGGCCATGCACCTCCGCGCCTTTCCCGCCCCTTTGCCGCCATTTGTGGCCCTCTTGGGGCCAGCCGCCTCAAAGCGCCGTCGGATCAAGCCTGTTCGTGTCGAACCCCTCGAAGTCCTCCACGCCGAGCAGCCCGCCTCCCCGACCTCCCCAACTCTTGACCCCAAGGCCTCCGCTCTTGAATGTCAACCTACTCGCATCGCTCTGCACAAGCCCGACACCCCACCCCCCAGTCTCGTCTCACCCCCCAACGCGGACATCACCGCTCACCACACCAATGTCGACCCCTTCATCACACCCCCGCAGCGCGCTCGTTTCCGCCCCCCACCCCCTCCATTCATGATCGAGCTTGCCCTGCGTGTCGCGACGTACTCCCTCCGCCCCCCCTCAGAGCCCGAGGAACGGGCGCGCACGCCGGCCGACCGCCGTAAACGCCGCATCATCAAGGACACGCTTAAGCTCAAAGAGGAAAAGACACGCATCCGCGACGCCTTGCGGCGCAGCAAATTCCAGAGGCCGAAGTATAGCCCACGCCTCCCCGCCCTGGGGGAGAGGTAGAAGCTCGACTAGACCCGTGCTTGCTTCGCACTGTTTCTGCACTGTACTTTGTTGTAGTGCTATGTATTACACATCACATCCTCGAGGCGCAGACACGCGCGTGGTCGCACAGACCCCGTGAAGATACAGAAGCTGTGGGCCTCATCCATCTCCACTCCGCACCATGCCCACCGTACCGATCCACACGATCCGGCCGCTGCTCGACCTCGTCGACTTCGCCGAGTTGGCGGAGTATGTGCGCGAGCGCGCGCGCAGTCCCCCGCTGTGCGGCACCCCGTCGGGGCCGACGACGCGGGCCCCGAGCGCCGACCACAGCCCGGAGCGGGGGTGTGCAGTGCTGCCTTCGTCTCCTCCGCTTCCTCAGCTCTCTCTCCCCACGGCAGCGAGTGCTAGTGGCCCAGCGAGCCACCCTACGAGTCCGCCACGAAGCGACGCGCCCCCGCCGCCGTCCACTCCAGGTGAGTCGGCTGCCCTTTCTCCGTGCCCTTTGCCTGACGCCAGGCAAACCCCTCCAACACGTTCTCCACGTCCTTGGCCCGCACTCGCCACACACGCCGATCCGCGACATGCCCCGCCTCAAGCTCCTGCGCGCGCTCCGCGCCGCACACCTCTGGCCCATGGCCGACCCCGAGCTCGCCCGCTTCGTCCACCTCCACCAAGACATGACGCTGGGTGACCTCGTCGCGGCCTTCCCACCCGGCCGCGTGCCGGTCCCGGAGCCCAGCAGCAAGTAGGCCATAGAATACATAGTCCGTTCTTCTTTCCCCGTCGCTATCGTCCGGCTATCGTGGCTCGTCGTCGCTTCGTTCACCCCCCGCCCCGCTCCGCCGCCATCCGACACTGCTCCCGCACCGTCTTGCCCACGAAGCGCGCGGCGCCCGCGCATTCGCGGTTCGCCTCGCGAATCTGCGCGCGGAGGACGGCGAGCTCGCGCCGTATCTCGCCCATGAGGCGGGCGTGCCGCGCCGCGTCCGCGGCCATGCGCGAGAGCGTCGCGTGGGCAAAGTACACCGCGGTGAGCAGGAGTACGAGCACGAGCGCGGCGAGTAAGAGCGGGCGGGGGGAGGCGGGCCACGCCGCGCCCACGGCCCGCCGCGCCGCGCCGCCCGCCGCGCAGAGCAGCGCGAACGCCACGAGGTGCGGGAGCACGAGCAGCGCGAACAGCGTGCCGGGCACCGAGCTGGGGTCAGTGCCGCGCAGGCGGACGTACCCTAGCGCGCGCGTAGTTTCGCGCGTGCGCTGCACGACGTCCCACGGCGTCGGCGGGGCAGCAGGCGTGGGCTCGTGCTCTGTTTGCTGCGCCGCGTCAGTTACTGGTGGCGGCGGGGGCGCGGGCGACGCTTTCGCCCGCACCGTCTCCCGCCGCCGCAGCTCGACGGGCGGCATGCGCCATGCGTGGACTTGCGCGTCGATGCTGGGCAGCGACAGTGCGCCGGACTGCGACGACGGAAGCGCGGACGGCTCCATGTCGTCCAGCGCTAGCGAGGGGAGCGGGGAGGGCGAGAGCGGCGGGCTGTCGCGCGAAAGGGGCGACCAGGACGTGTCCGAGTCCGAGGGCGGCCACGTATCGGATGTCATGTGTAACGCCCAGATGCACAATGACGTCCGAGGTGGCGATGTGATGTGGGAGTCAGGTGATGGGCGGAAGCATGCTCCCGCGGAGATTGGGATGTGGCATAGAATACAGAACTACAACAGCTTGACCCACTTGACGGCTGCGGCGGCGAGGTCGGCGATTTTGGCGACCGAGCACGCGTCCACGGCGTGCTGCAGCGACTGGGCGACCGAGCGGTTCTGCAGCGCCTCGAGCTCGTCCTGTGTCCGCTTTAGCTGGGCTTGTAGCTCCGCGAGCGCCTTGGCGTGTGCTTGGCTTTGGGCGACGAGCTCGCGGCGCACGTCGGCGAGATGGAGTTGCACGGTGGCGTGCACGTCGGCGTGTAGTTCGTATCGCAGGGTTGTGGGGTCGAAGTGGCGGGCGGGGACGAGGCCGAAGGGCGGGAGGAGGGGGTTGGGCGTGGTGAGGGCTGGAGGGGGCGGGGACTGCCAGAGGAGAAGGGTGGCGAGGAGGGCTACGGCGGCGAGGAGGGGGAGGGTGAGGTCGCGCGGGCGGCGGGGTGGGGGGAGGGGTTGGGAAGATGAGGCGGCCTGGGAGGGATAAGAGGGTTGGGTGGGTTGAGAGGGTGGGAACGCTTGGGTGTGGTGAGAGGAGAGAGGACGGGCCGGCTTGAGGCCGACAACGGAGCGGGAGAGGAGTGCAGCCCCCCGCCGTACCGCATACGAGGTTACGAGGCCGTAAAGCGGCACGGCGAGGACGAAGGGGATAGCCCCGACGGCCGAGAGGACGAGATACGCAAAGCGCTGGTCGGCGAGCGCGCGCGTGTGGTCAAAATACCACTTTGCGATGCGGAGGCCGAGGGCGACTGCTGCCGTGTGGTACACTATGCGGAAGAGGAGGTGGGCAGCGGACGCGAGGTGGTGTTCGAGGAACGCGTCGGCTGCTGCGTCGAAATAGTCTGACGGGTCGTCGGTCAGAGGTGGGGGCGGGGGCGGGGGTGGATGGGAAGCGCTGGCGTGTTCGGTGTGCTTGAGGTCGGCGTCGGCGTGGCTTGATGCCCGCGTTGTAGTGGACGACATGGTGTGGCCATGGAGGAGAGGTAGCGCGTAGAGATGGGAGACGAGCGTGGGCGACGACAATTCTTCGAGCGATGTCGTGGAAGCGGGCGGCGAGGACGTCGGCGCTCGGAATGTTCGGTGATCGACGTCATTCCCCGGGGCTGGGTGGCGATTATTCAGCCAGCACACGGCGAGGCCGAGGCCGTCGTCCGTTCGGCAGTCCGCAGTCGGCATTAGTTACTGGAAGGGCTGTTGGCGCGAGCCCTCCGTTGCGACGTTTGTTCATTGATGACCGACGGCGCGTTCGTGACTTTCGCCGTGACCATCATCCCTCTTGCTCACACCATCTGGCCATAAGCAGACCAGTTGCGAGGATGAGGCCATATGTGATGGGTGGTGGCTGGGCAACGATACTTGATCGCTCCATTCTCCATCCATATCTGTTCTTCACGCTGGCGGCCTCACGTGCGCCGCCCTCCTCTCTGGAAAGTCCCACGCCGTTATGCCCTTGCACGCGCGACGACTCGGCGCAGAACCGAGCGCGATGGCCAGGCCTTATGCATAACTACGAAAACCAGCGCTTCTCATGCGCCTGCGCATCGCGGAGCGCGACATACGCGATCTCGCGGCGCAACGTCGCCGTTTCAGCGCGCAACGAACGCACCGTAACCGCAAGCCACGCGACGGTTGCCCCCAAAAGCGCGAGGACGAAGACGAGGCCGCGCGCCGTGCCCTCTTCCTTCTCCCTCTTCTTGCCCCTCCTCCCCACCCTCTCTCCCTCTGTCTCTCCCATGTCATGCGAGCCGAGCGGAGACAGCAACCACACTCCCGCCGCGTCCGTCGCGCGCAGCACGAGCGTGCTCAGCCCATGCCCGATAACGGGGGAGAGCACCATGACCCCACGCCCGCGAGGAGGGGGGGCGCGTAGCGGTAGTCGCCGGCCTGGACGTGGGGAAAGGTGTGGGCGACGAGGGCGAAGCACGCGCCGAGCGAAGCGAAGGCCAGGATGAAGAAGGGGAACCACGCCGAGGTCTCGAGGCCGGAGAGGACCATGTCGTCGTGCGACGCGTGCGATGCGTGTGAGGCATGCGAGGTGTCGCTGCGCGCTGGGGAGGGAGAGCGTGCAGGCGATTTGGTGGAGCGTGGCATGGCGACGGATGAGATTTCGGAGCGAGTTGATGGATGGTCGTGTGTCGTGCTCTGGCACTCTGGTCGGCTCGCCTCTTCAAGCCTCAAGACCCGTCCTTGTCGCTTGGTCGCTTGGTCGACTTTTAACGCGTCGATGCGAGAGAAATGAACAATGATGGTACGATGAGACGATGAAACAAAGCACTCGGCAGTGAATCGACGCCGTCCAGGGTCATCGGGCCCGATTCTGACGCTCACTCTGGATCCCCCGTGGGTCATCTTGTCTCGAGCTCCACTCCGCCGTCGCTCCGCCCACTGCGTCCAGTCACGCCGCTAAACCCTCGCCCACTCGCCCACTCGCCCCAGCTCCCCGTACGCCTCCCGGTGCAAATATGCATGCTACACGGCCCTTTGCTACACGGCCTCTTGGCCTTTTAACGCTTAGTGGTGCGCGGGGGCAGTCGACTTGTAGCCGATCAGGTTGCGGCGGCCAATGATCTCGCCAATCTTGTAGATGCCGTATGCCTCGACGCCCTGGGGTTAGTGGGAGGGCGAGGGAGAGCAGGGAGCGGGGAGGTGGAGAGATGAGGGAGGGGGCAAGAGACTGGGCGGGGGGCTGCGAAAGCTGTGGACGCTGTTGCTCTTGCGTGCGTTGGCGTATCTTAGCTACTGCTGGAGTTGCTCTTGCGTGCGTAGCCACCACTCCTCCGCCCTCGACAACCCACACCGGCGCGCTTGAACAAGAACGCGAACGACGGAATGTCATTCACCCCAACGCGGATGTCGTCGGCACCTTACGTCCGCACTCCGCCCACCACTTGACAACAAAACTCACGGCAACAGCAATCTTGGCAGCCTGGCCGTTGGACATGGCCTTCTGCCAGAACGCGGGCGAGGTGGCGGCAGAGAAGATCTGCGAGTATGCCGAGGCCCACTGCGCGAGCTGGGTGGGGGGAGCGAGCTTCTCAGCCTGGTACACCTGGCGGCAGAGCGAGGTGAAGACGTTGAAGTTGTAGACGATGGGCTGCTTGTACGCTGAGGTTAGTGGGGGTTTAGAGGAGGGGACGAGAGAGAGAGAGGGAGAGAGAGAGAGGCGTGGAGGATGTGGAATGGGGGCTCGGTGAGAGGTCGGCTGTTTCGACGAGTGGAGGTGATGTGAAAGAAAGGTGCGATGCTCTCTCGAGCACGGCTGCAGCGTCCACGAGACCTGCGCGGGCTTGTCGATGGGCACGAGGACACTGGGAGGCGACAAGGTGGCTAAAGGAGACCACCTCACACCTCCGCTGTCCCTGTCCGCCAACAAAGGTCGGCGCTGGCTCAAGCAAACAACGAAGGGCTGCAAAGACCTCTCACGCGAGCTCCGAGCTCGACGACGCTCGCCCCAGCATCACACAGCGCTCCCCACCGCTAAGCCCCTTACCCTGCGCCGAGTGCTCGCCTCCCCCGTCCTCCCCACCTCCCTCCTTTGTCTAATACTCACAGCCAAGCATGCTCCCGACCTTGTCGCCGACGGGGCCAGTCACACGCGAAACAACAGCCGACGCCTGCGCGAGCGCGGCGTTGGCGCTGGCGACCGCCTTCTGAACCTGGGGGTGCTCTGCGACGTCCTGGGCCGCGCTCTTGGCCTTGCTGGCGGCGTCCTCGGCAACAACCTTGGCCTTGGTAGCGGCGTCCTCGGCGACAGCCTTGGCCTTGTCGGCCGTGTTCGAGTTGGCGCGGCGGCCAAGCGTGCGCACGGTGCGGGCGATCTGGGGGCGCATGCTTATGGTGGACGGACGGGACGGACGGAGCGGACGGAGCTGGGAGGGGAACGAGCGGACAAGACGAGACGGACAGCGAGCAGGAGGTTCGGAGTGACCTTCCCCCCAGCAGCAGGAGCTGTGGGCGGGCGAGTCGGAGGAGATCGCCCGGAGTTTGGGAAAGCCACGTGGTTGTGGCACCCTCACCCCCCCCCTCCACGTCGGGCCGGTGGTGCCGTGCCTGAAATGCGAGCACATGCTCAGCTCTGTCTCTCTCTCGCATCTTTCTTCAATCAGCCCAGCATCGACAGCTAGTCACTCTCGCTCTCCCTCGCTCTCTTCTCCCCCGCTCGTCCTCGTGCACACGCTCCTTCGCCATGAACCCCGCCATCACCAACCTCGCCGTCTCCCTCGGCGCCATGCAGAGTGCGTCGTCTTCTGACTCTCTCTGACCACAGTCGCGCGCCGTCTCCCCACGGACGACCCCAAGGTCGTGTTCTACCTCCGCTGCATGTACCTTGCGGGCCAGGCTCTCTCGTTTGCCATCTACTACTACATCACCATGAAGGTGGGTTTCTGCGGCTGTGAAGCCAAATGGAGCAAGCAGCGGACGCAACGGGGCACGCCTTGGATCTGCGTCCGCGCGATGCTCAAAGACATAACAACAGAGCTCACACCAGATCCGCGCTAAGAACGACCTCACCGTCGTCAAGTACGTCCAGCCAAAGTCGCCGATGGTGAGTGCCAGGAACATGGGCTCGTGTGACGTCGACGCCGCGCGTCCTCGGTCATCTATTCAGAGGCTGACGGCAGAACCCCGACTCCAAGGACGAGTTGGTGACGACCACGGTCCGCGACTACGATCTCGCCGAGACCGGCAAGGCCATGAAGGGCCTCTTCACCGGCATCGCCTTCATGGCCCTCCTCCACCTCTACATGGGCTACATTCCTCCTGTAAGTGTCTTCCGCTCACGCAGCACGCAATCTTTGATGGTCGCCAATGTTGCACGATCAGCGTCCGTGCACGCGCCTCATCTCATCTCCTGTCCGGTACTAACCCCAGCTCTTCGTCCAGTCCATCACGACCGTCAAGGCCGTCCTCGAGTCCAACGAGGCCAAGCTCCACATCTGGGGCAAGGCGCCCGAGGGCCCCCTTGCGCGCCCCTTCAAGGCCGCCCCGGGTCTCATGGAGCAGCTCACCGGCGCCCAGGCCGGCCCGCAGACGGACCAGGCGTCCATCCGCGCCGCCGAGAAGGCTGGCGGCAAGTCGGAGTAATCTAGTCCTGTATTGTCATGGCCGGCAGGCTGTAGATGCATGTGGCGTTTGATGGGTGAGAGCGATGTTGAGTAGGAGTGAGGCGAATATCTGTAGAGTCGCTCAACGACTGCCGCCTCTGATACTCCATACATACACTATCCCTGCCGCAGCGCTTCGCTGAGCCCGAAACTCGTTTTCCTCCCCTTATCCCGCCCGTCCCTCCCATGCGCAACGATAGCGTCTAGCTCGCGCTGCTCCCGTCCCGGCTCGTATTGCTCGTCGAGCTCAGCGCCCGCGTCCGCTGATAGCTGTATCCGCGGGACAGTGGCGTCGTAGCCCCACTGGGAGTTGGCGACAGTGTCAGCGAGCTCGGCCCAGGCGAGAATGCCCCCGGCGACCGCGGTTTGGGCGACGGCGACGCCTCGCTGTCTCGTCCCTGGCTCGCTTCCTTGAGCAGAAACTCGACGAAGAGGTTTGAGAAGGACTGGTGTTAGGTTGGGACTTCCAGAGCGCGCTCGTAGCTGCAGAAAACTGGCAGCGCAGGCCACGCACCTCGCTCATGGCGTCTTCCTCGGCGGTCGGCGCCGCGCTCTGCCGCCGCTTGCCCTTCGGGGCGCGCTGCAAGCCGGCCTTTTCGCGCTCTTCGTCGTCCCAGCTCAAGATTGTGCTGAGCAAACTGAGCATCTCGAAGCGCTTGCTGTCCGCGCGCGCGGTCGTGAGGAACGAGAGGAGGATGTTAGTCACCAGCCGCCTGTCGACGTTGTTGTCGCTCTGGTTCTTGCGCAGCCGCCGCAACGCTTCGGTTAAATGCTCATTCGTGACCACCGCGTCGTGCCGCAGCTTTGCGATGACAGCCGCCTTGTCCCGCGCCTCCTTTTCCAGCTGGGCCACGCGCCCCGCGTCCGACGACAGCGTCGAGACCGACGACTCGGCATTCGCGCACCGCAACTTGTACTCTGACAACTGGACCGTGGCGCGCTTGAGCTGCGCCTCGAGCTCGGCGGTCGCTTGTCGCAGCTCGGCGTCTTTCGCTACCGTCAGCGCGCACACACACCACCGCACCGTTCTGGAACTCGCCCAGCACATCTTGCAAATTATCCGCGCGCTCGCGCTCGCGCTCAGCCTCGCGCACCGCGCGCTCGGCGTCGTCGCGCGCCGCGCGCTCGCGCCGCTCCGCGCCCCGCACCTCGTCTTCGAGCGCTTCGCGCCGCTCGCGCTCGCGCCCCGCCTCGCCCTCCCACTCTTCGCGCTCCGCGCGCAGCCGCTCCATCTCGCCGCGCAGCTCGCGCATCTCCCGCGTGAGCGAGAGCACGTCGCTGCTGCTCGAGTCGCTCTGCGAGCGGAGGTGCGCGAGCTGTGCGCTCAGCGCGGCCGACTCGGCCGAGGCGCCCTCGAGCTCGGCGCGCAGCGTCGCAATCGTCGCGTGCAAGCCCGCCGCTTCGTCCGTCAACGTGTGGATCTGCGCTTCGCGCCGGTCCAGCTCTTCCTGTCCGTCAGTCTGTCCAAGCCACAGCGGCGCGCTCGCTGCCCCGCCCTTTTACTACGCTCCGCGCTCCGCGCTGCACAACCCACCGCATCCTCCTTCAACTTCTCGCCGAGCGTGTTGCGCATCGCCGTCAGCTTGCCGAGCAAGCTGCGGTACTGGTGGCTGAGGTGGTCTTTCTCCGCGCGCACGCGCTCGAGCTCGTCCCCGCTCCCGCTGAAGCGGGGCATGTCGGCGGACGCGCGCGGCGACGTAGGCGACAGGGCGGACGGGCCCGCGTCGGCGCTGCTCATGGTGGATAGATGGGTGGAAGCAACGTGGAGATGTGGAGGCGGATTCGCCTCCTTCCACCCACCCTCCATGCCTCTCCTGCGCGCCGCGAGCGCCGCCGTCATCCGCTGCTTCCGCTGCGTCGAAGGCGTCGCGGACTATATCACGGGCGCGGCGGGCCCCGTGTTCGTCGTGCTTGCGTGGGTGTTGACTGGCGCCGGCGGATTCGTGTTCTGTGAGCACCGAGGGACGGACGGGCTGACGCCAGTCGATGTCGTTGCGGGCGCGCTGTCGTGGACCGCGACGCTCTTCTTGCTCCCAGTATACGTGCTGGTTCCGCTCAACATGTACGGGCAGTACTACCTCGTCACGCACGTCGCGCCGGGCTTCCCCGTCGCGCGCAGCGCAAAGGACACGCGCTTCTTCTACCCCGCGCGCGGCAGCGCGCTCACCCCCGAACGGTGGGGGTGGGAGAAGCGCGGGCCAGCGCCCATCCCCGCCGGCCCGCACCTCGGCATGCGCGTGCGGCGGTGCCGCAAGTGCGACGGGCCGAAGCCAGAGGTTAGTAGGAGACGGGAGAGAGCGGAAAGCTGATCATAGCGCACCCACCACTGCAGCGTGTGCAAGCGTTGCGTGCTGCAGATGGACCACCACTGTCCTTGTGAGTCGGCCTCGGATTGCGCTTACGCAGGGATCAACGCCTGCGTCGGCCTGCACAACCAGCGCCACTTTGTGCTCTTCATGGCCTGGATCAGCGCGGCGTGCTGGACCGTCGCGATCCTCGGCTACCCCCATTTCTGGACGAGCGTGGACTCGCGGCATCCCGTGAGTGGCGCGACCGGCTGGGAGAGCGCCTGTCGTCGCACACACGCTGCCAGCAGCCGGCGTCGCTGACACCAGTGGCCGGCATACACCCCCCGCATCGCGTTCACGCTCATCTGGGTGCTGTCCATCGCGATCGGGTTCGCGGTGCCGATCCTCGGCGGGTGGCACGTCTACATGGTCGCGCGCGGGGAGACGAGCATCGAGAGCCACGACAACGACTTCCTCGAGCGCAAAGCGAAGGAGGAGGGGCTGGTGAGTGGCGGCGAAGGAAACGCGAGGCTGGAAACGTTGCCGCTGACACAAGATATACCTCAACCCCTACGACCAGGGCAAGCGGCGCAACCTCGAGTTCTTCTTCAACCTCGGTCCGGAGGGATAGTGGGTGCTGTGCGGACGCGCTGACCCAGTCCCGCTGTAACGCTGCTCTTTCCCCTTCTCGTGCCGCCAGCCACGAACGGGTGGGTGTGGCCGCACCGCACGTTCCCGTCCCCCGCGCCGCGCGTCGCGGCGCTACATGCGCCCGAGCTTGCGCAGGGCCTTATCGATCCCAACGAGGGGCGCGGCGACGGCCCCGGCGGCCGATACGTCCTCGGCGGCGGGGACGAACTCACAGACGACGAGGGCGGCGGCGGCGGGTGGTGGGAGCCCGAGTAACGGGTATGGGAGATACATGCATAGTTAGCCGCCGGGGCTGATACAGTCTAGAGTCTAGGGAGTGTCATGGTGTAAGTTAGACGAGGGCATACACTGCCGCGCCGGCCAGCGCGAGGCCTGCCGCCGGCGCTGGCGAGAGCGCTCCGCCTGACTGCGGTGTCTGTGTGGCGAGCGAGGCTTGGAACGCCCCGAGGTCCATCCGCGTCCCGGAGGGGACTTGGACGGTTGCGCGCGTCACGGTGATATTCGCGCGGTTCGAGTTCGCGGGCGGCGCATACGAGCCGAGCGTGGCGATGCGCGTCGGCTTGGGCGCGTAGTATGTGTCGGTGGTGTCGATGGAGCTGGTGTGAGCGGTGAGGGGAGGTAAGAGACCCGCTCTCGCGCACTCACATCGTACCGGACGGGGTGAAGGCGGTCTGCGTCGCGGGGTTGACGGTCTCGGCGGCGTCAACGGTTTGGCTGCTGTCAGCGTGGCGTTAGCCAAGACGCACTAGATGCTGGTTGTGACGACACCGGCGGTGGTCCACACCGTGGCGAGGACGACCTCGCCGCCGACAGTCGTAGTGTATCGCCGCGCAAGAACGGGGGAAAGGACGAGCGAGGCGATGAGGGGGAGGGAGAAGCGCATGACAAACGAGTGTGACAGGAGAAACAAGACAGAGATACAAGATGACAAGAAGAGTTGAGAAAGACTAAGAAGCCAAGACGCGTCTGCCAAGAACATGCAGGTTCACCCCTGATCCCTCCCCGCAGCCAAGTCACGTGTTCCAGGCCCTCGTCCAAAAGTTGATCGTGAATTCGACATCCCTCCACACCACAAACAACATGGTCTCGACACGCTCCCGCACCGCCTCGGAAGCGCTGACGCCCACGCGCGCACTGCACGCCGCCGACGAGGTGCGCGACAGCCCGCGCGCGAGTCCCCGGCGCACCGCTGCTCCGCGCCAGCCCCGCGCGACGCGCGCCCGCGCCAGCAGGTTGCGGAACGTGCAGGAGATGGAGGGGGTGAGGGAGGAGAGGGAGGAGAGTGCGGCGAGCGAGGTGACCAACTTTACGGAGGCGTCTGAGACGAACGGGGTGAACGGGGAGGCACACGAGACGGAAAGTGTCGCTAGTGCGCCGAGCGAGGCCGCGAGCGAGGCGAGTGACGATACCGCCCGCCCGGAAGATGGCGAGGTCGAGGTTGAGTCGGCGAGCGAGGCTGCGAGCGAAGCTGGCGACTACACGGCAAGCGAGGCGGACGAGATGGACGAGGGCGACGGCGAGCTGGCAACGGACGCGGAGCAAGACCAGGCCGAGGATTCAGGCGACGAGACCGAGACCGCCGAGCGCGAGGAGACGCCCAAGCCTGCGGCGCCGACGCCGAAGAAGCGCAAGTCGCTCGTCGCCGACAGCTCCGCGAAGAAGGCGCGTGTGTCTGCAGTGCCGACGCCAGTGATGTCCACGCCAGCAAAGTCCACGCCAGCAAAGTCCACGCCAGCGAAGACCACGCCAGCGAAGACACCCAAGACGCCAAAGTCTGCACCGAACGCCCAGCCTGCCGCGCCCGCCACCGCAACAGGCAAGACGTCCCGCCGCCGCCGCCGCCAAAAGGCGCGGAGGGAGGCGATGCACGCGGCCCCCGCGATCGCGCTGTCCTCCGTACCGTCCGCCACGGCACAGCAGCTGCGGGACGCAGTAGACGCCGTGCTGGCCGACACAACGGGGAGCGTGTGTGCGTCGCGCTTCGCGCGCGCTGTCGCGGACGAGTGGGAGCCGCTTGTGCCGGCTACGCGGGCGGTTGTGCTCGATCTCGCGGAGCGGGGGCGGGTGCGGGTCGTCACGGGCGGCGAGAGCGGGCCGTTGCGCGTAGAGCGCGGCGCGGCGTTCTAGGCGCTTCCGGGGAGGAGGGGGTGCAAGGGCGCAAGAAGTGTCGGATATTCTGCATATGCATAACGAGTGGATACAAGTGTGGGAGGGAGGAGAGCGGGGCTCAATCCAGTGTCCATGGCAAGAAGGCGGGAAGAAGGCGGCTACGACTCGTGCATCAAGACATGGCGCGGCGCGATGCCCCCGGCTCTGAGGAAGCCAAAGCCGATGACAAAGACTGCGAGGGCGAAGACGGTGTGGAGGAGCGGCGCGAGGAGGCGGGCGATGGGGACGCGTGTAGCTGCGCAGAGGAGGGCGGTGACGCCTGGGGGCAGGGGGTCTTTAGCGAGGGCGATGGACATGGGGACTAGGGTGCGGAACGAGAGGGAGGGGGCAGCGGAACGATAGAGACGGCGAACGAGGAGACGATGAGACGAGGCGAGCGAGTGTGGGTCGGCGTCGGGCGAGACTGGGGCGTGGTGGACGAAACGGGGCTTGGAAGGCTAAAGTCGAATGGAGAGGCATGCAAAGCTACACAGAGGCATGAGGTGTCGGGCTGCTTACGCCGCTGTCTGTGCGCTGAGGCGCGTGCCCTCGTCGATGTATCTGACCAGTTCTCGATGTCCCAAGGCGCCCCGACGCGCCCGACGCCGCACCGACGCCGACACCCCGACGCCCCGACGCCCGGCATGCCGAGGATGCCCAGCTCTCCGGGATCCAGGGCGTGGCGCCACAGGATCAGTGATCGGCGTGGCGACTGCCACCGAGCGATCAGTGATCAGTGGATCAGCTTCAATGTTCGGCATCTATCATCAAGCTGGCAACCCACGCCGGCGGCCAGATATACATACACGTCTACATCCATACGACCAAAAGACGGGCAGAGTGTGGCGAGAGAGACAACTCGCTCAGCAGCAGTCGCGCTAGCCGGGGGCGCCGTGCCTGGGCCGGTTATGAGCCGAGCGCGTAGGGAATGCGTCTCCTCTTCCAACCAGTCCATCTAGAAACTAGGTCCGTCGGGGAGCCTGCAAAAGAAAGGACAAGAGGGGCAACAAGTCGTCTACGGCCAACGCGGCACGTCATGACGACGGAGGACAGGAGGGGTGGGGTGGACGACGAGGCAGTTCCCAGCCCTCCAGCCGAGGGTCCATCGACTGTGACTGCGTCTAGCTGCAAAATAGAGGTCGCAGGGGTCACGGCGCGGCGCTGGACAGCAGCCCCGAGGCCCGAGGATGAGGACGAGGAGAGGCCGGAAGAACAGAGTAAACTAAATGGTGAGGATGAAGTCTTGGAGATGAGAATAGCAACCCGACAAAGTGACGTCATGGTGGCTCTCATAGAGGGAGGCGGGATCAAATTACGTCCACCCGTCGTCGTCGCCATCCATCATCGCCTCGACATCCATCGCGCTCCACAACTCTCTACTGCTCTCTTCATCTCTCTCATCTCTATCTTGTCTCTCTCTCTCTCGCCCCCGTAATCAACTTGCACGCTGCTCAGTGGCACATCCACCACAATGTCCCACTTTGATACACTCTCCCGCACCACGTCGGGCGGACGTTCCTCCGTCTCCCGCTCTCAGTCTCTGGTACGTGCCCCTCTCCGGCCCTCCCCATCCAGACCCCGCTCACACCGCCAGATCAAGAAGAACACTGCCCCGTATGAGCTCAAGCCCAGCGACATCCTCATCGAGCGCTTCACCGCCTGGAAGCAGATCGTCAAGATGCTAATCTGTACGCACGCCCCCACCTCACGTCATAACAACAACACTGACCCACAGCCTATTTCGAGGGCATTGCCGACATCGAAGGAAACACATCCAAGGAGCTCACAAAGCTCGCAGCCGTCATCCAGGTCCCCTTCCGCCCCGGTAACCAGTTCCTGGGCGAGGGCGGTGTGCAGGACGTCTTCTACACCATCCGGGACAAGACACGCGTCATCGCGGATTCGCATGCCTCGCTTGCGCGCACCATCGACTCATCCATCGTCCAGCACCTCCAGAAGCTTCGTACCGAGATTAAGGCGCACATCAAGAACGTCCAGAATGACACTGGCAAGCTTGCTGCCAGCGTAGCGCGTGAGCGTGAGCTCTCGACCAAGGCCATTGCCGACCTGTCCCGCGCCATCTCGGCCTGCAACAACACGCCTATGCAGCTCAATGCCAAGGAAGACCCTTACGCTGTCAACATTGCCGTCATGAAGCAGCTCCAGAAGCAGGTCCAGGAGGAGAACGCCCTGCAAAAGTCAATCGTCATCATGCAGCAGAACTCGGCTCACTTTGAGGAGGGCATCGTGCGCTCGATCCAGAGCGCATGGGCGACCTTTGACGAGTGGCAGAGCCGCATGTCAGCCTCGGTCCAGGAGACTTGGCGCCAGCTTGGCGTCAACATGGGCCAGCTCATGCCCGACCGCGAGTGGATCGCCTTCGCCGCCCGCTCTGACCACCTGCTCGACCCCGAGACCCCTCTCCGCAACCCGGAGGCTATCGACTACCCCGGCCGCAATGATCCTGCTGTTGTCCCTGTCCACTGTGGCGCTCTCGAGCGCAAGAAGCGTTTCACCAAGTCGTACAAGGAGGGCTTTTACGTCCTTACCCCTGCCGGATTCCTCCACGAGTACACCAGCTCTGACCCGAACCTCGCCACCCACCCTGTTTGGTCTCTCTTCCTGCCGGCATGCACCCTTGGCCCGCCTTCGTCTGCTATGACCGCAAAGTCGCACAAGTTCCACATCGAGGCACGCAAGGACGGCACATCGGCGTTCGGCAAGACGCCCGGTGGCGGCCGCTTCTTCGGCAGCTCCGAGGCGTACACGTTCCGCGCACGCTCGCACGAAGAGATGATGGAGGTATGGAACGACCTGCGCATGCTGGTTGCGAGATACCTCGTTGCGTCGGAGCAGATGGAGCGGGACGGCCCAATCGCACAGGCCGTCCGCTCGGTCGGCTACCAGTCGGAGGGCGAAGACGAGGACGAGTACGACGAGGGCTCGTCCGTCGAGGCCGAGGACGACGAGTACGAGCACAACCTGCACGAGCACGAACACGAGCACGAGCACGAAGAGGAGATCCCGGCGTACGAGCGCGGCACGGCGCCCGTCGAGGTCGGCCCGAACGGCTATGCGGTAAGTCTGTGCCCTCTGACGACGCTGACGACAGCTCGAGAAGAAGCATGCTAGTGGACACGACGATGCGGGCGCGTCGTCGAGCCGCCGCGACGGCAAGGCCGCGGCCTCTAGCACTGGTGAGGATGCCGAGGAGCGCGAACGCGCGCAGGCCGAGGCCGCCAGCGCGAGCACGAGCGCGCACGAGACGGGCGCCGAGCCCGCCGCCGATTCGGCAGAGCAGGACGCACAGCCCGGCATGTTCTCGCGGCTCATGGGCACGGGCACGCCGTCTAAGAAGTAGACGGGGGCGGACCGCGACATAGATTTTTGATATCCTCCTGCTAACGAAAGCTTAATTGGAGGGCTGTAGCGACGAGAAACAAGCAAGATATACGATAGTACTAGTATGGATGTGTGCTTTGACGGCGGGAGCGTCGTGTTTAGTGTGGGCGGAGCGAAGTGTAGTTGTTGCCGTTGCAGATGTGGAGGGTGGAGAAAAGTCGGCGCCGGTCGGGCGGAATCAAAATGTTATCGTCCTTCTCTCATCCATCTCTGCACTACTCCACTACACACACCATGCTCCGCGCCTCGACATCCCGCCTGCCCCTCCTCGCGCGCGGCTTCGCGCAGGCCGCCGCCGCTGCCCCCGCCGCGGAACACGCCGCCCCCGCCACCCGCCCACGGACACTGGGATATCTCGTTGAGAGGAGCACACAGGGCAACCTGCCCGTGTATTCCGAGTACCGCAATGCGCGGAGCAACCGGCTCACGGTTGTGCGCAAGGTTTCGGGGGATGTTGGGGTGAGTTTGCGCGAAGGGGAAGGGAGGGAGGAGGGGGGTGGGGGGTTGGGGGCAGCGAGGAAAGAGGAGAGGAAAGTCGAGGGCGCGGAAGGGATCATCGAAGTCGAGGCAGGATCGGAGTGAAGGCGATGAGCAGAGGGCGGAGGGTGTTCGGACACGATGGGGGACGGAACGACGAGAGGCGCAGAGAAAGAGGGACGAGACGAGACGAGAGGAGTCGAGATGAGGAGAAACCGCCACCGTCAACAGCCCTAATCCCAGGCCCTCCGCAACGACATCGCGCAGTACCTTGCCGACGGGCACATTGACCCCCTCCGGGCGCCGCCCAAGGTCTACATCCGCCCCACGTCGGGGCACGTCGAGATCAAGGGCCACTGGGTCGAGGAGATCAAGGAGTGGCTCGCCATGCGCGGCTTTTAGAGATGGCATTGTATACGTTTGCGGGGTGATGGGGGAAACTGTGCTCACGCTGTCGTCGTTGCGGACGCAACGGGGAGGAGGGCGCTCGAGGCGCCGCATGTCGTCTTGGCTCACACATCTCATACATCTCAACTCATCTCACTCACTGCGCCGGCTATCCAACACTGCGTGACGTACAGCGGCTTCTCGAGACCATGTCGTCGCACCTCACCTCAGCGCCCTAGGCATCGTCATCCCAGCCCTCCTCCCCTCATCATACATTCCCACTACCTCAACTTTCCCACCTCATCTTTCTTTTCCCTCGCACCATGTCCCGCCGCAGCTCAGTCGCAGAAAGCACGCTCAGCAGAATTAACTGGGGCTCCGTCCCGCCGCCGCTGATGCCGCCCTCCGCCAAGACGCCCGAGAACCCTCTGCGCCGCCTCTCCATGGCGGCCTCCGAGCTCCCAGCGCGCGCCCCGGACTCGCCGGAGCGGCGGCAGCGCCGCGAAAGCCTGGCGGCGCTGTACCCGCCTACGCCGGAAGGCGTGATCGCGCTCGCGCGCGACGCAGCGTCGAACCACTCGTGCGCGCCCCCGCCGCCCCGCTAACCCAGCTCGTACTGGACGAACGTGTACCTCCTCCTCATCCTGCCGCCGGTGCTGGCGTTCGCGCTTGCGCGCCGCGCCGGCGCGGCCGCCGCCGCCCACGCGGCGTCGACGTACGCCCTCCTCACCCAAGACCCCAGCGACCCCGAGTACACGCAAGCCGGGGCGGTGCAGATCGCCGCGCATCTCCTCCTCGTCCCTGTGCTCATCGCGACGCTGTATCTCGCCCGCGACCACCCGCTCGTCGAGTACGCGGCCAGCGCTTTGCTCGGGATCACGGTCGTCGCGCTCCTGCCGATGCGCCCGCTCGCCGGCGTCATCCGCACGATGGGGCGCGCGCGCGCCCGCACTGCCGCACACGTCGGCGCACACGTCGAAATCTACGTCCTCCTGGCTACCGTTCTCGGCATCGCGCTCGGCTTGTATGCGCTCATCGACTACATCAACGATGAGATACAGTACGAGCACTTTGCGCGCGAGGGCGCCGGACAGATCCAGAGCGAGCTCGCGCAGCAGGTCGTGGCGCTCCGCGCTGAGCTGGCTGCACTCAAGGCGGCGGCGAAGGCGACGGCGAACGCCGCGTAACGGTGCGAGTCGAAGGTACCCGTTCTCCCCCATCGCCCTTCCCAGCTCCGGCCCTCAGTCAAATGCCTGTAGGCGGGATGTACAGCCTCACCACGCACTCCTAGGCGACTGAATTGGGCACGCACGCCTTATCTGACTTAGAGATAAAGGCGGCCGTATCTAACAGCCGCGCGGCTCTGCGGGAGCGCGATGTCTTACCCGACCCGCTCATATGCGTTGATTAATCGTGTGGCTCTCACAGCACTGACCTGCTGAGCATATCGTGTACACTGCTCCGATCGAGTGGAACCGGCCGCGAAGAGGTTGATGAGATGGGGCCGAGTGAAAGAGATGATGCAACCCAGCTATCTGCTGCGCTCTTTTAACGCCCGAAGAGGGGTCAGAATGACATGGGACGACGCGCCCGGTGGGGTGTGAGAAGTGGAGAAGTGCCAAAGTCAAGGAAGGGAGAGCCTGAGAGCCTGACAGACTGTACTCGTAAGCTCAGCAGACGAGAAGTTCTCAGAACTCTTCAGTCACACCTGCGCGGAGAACTCATATCCCCTAGCCAGTCCACTGTGAGACACGACATCGGCATCGGCATCGACAGCGGTCGAGAAAATACCATCCCGCTGTAGGTAAGCTTCTGTTCTGCCCCTTACTATGGCTGTTGGGCGGCCAAGAATGCCGGATCCGAGGCTGTGTGGCGCGAAGGCGCCTTTCAAGTGGTTCCGCACCGGCAGGGAATCATCCCAGGAGGGTATCAGCATGGAGTTCTCAGGACTGTGGGATCCATACGCATAAGGCCGGAATTCGACATTCGGTCAGTAGCCCTAAGATGGGACTATCCCCCAAGAGCAACTCTCCTGTTCGCTCTCGTAGCGTCTGTCCCTCTCGCCCTATACGAAATTTACTCAACCCTGTTCCGCACGCGGGTACGCAATCAGCTAACACGCTCTTATATACGGTATGTGTCTGCTCGTTGAGCGGGTGGGTCCCTTGTACAATTCAGAGCCTCCTTACTTTACGTGGTGGCTGCTCGCACTGGCAAGTAATAGATTGACACCCTTAGGGCAGCACGGAAACTTCTCAGTGCTGTAGCAGGTTGACGAGGATACACGCTCCAAACCGTCTGAAGAGATGACTGGACTACACCACGTCAGAGCCCGGACAAAGCCGACTACAATAAAGGTACTGACCGCTCTGAAGGAACAGCGATACGCATGTATGTTATCATGCGTGTTGCGCAGCGTGCATCCAAAATCGCCAACGCCTTCATACAGCGAGAGCAATGAACCGTCGCCTTTGGGTGACACTCTTGGGGTCAGGCACCTACTGTACATCGTCGCACCCATCGCTCGCTCACCACCCATGCGCCTCAGCTCGCCAAGCGGCTGATATCGATTGAACAGTACAGGTACCTTTATGCCATATGCCAATGTTGGCAGCCCAGAAGGTCGCGTGGGCATTGAGTTCCAACACCTCCGATCCACCGTGATGGTCGTTCCAGTGGTGAAACAAGGTTCCTGTACGTGTACCTTCGACGCGTCAGACTCGACCTCCACATCTGAGAGGAGACGCGTGCAGTTGGTGTTAGCTGACGGATGCATGAGTATTGGTGCAGCAGTCTAACACTACAGTATCACATGCTTCATTTGTCACCCAGGCAACGGCTTCAGTGCCTGCGTTGACATTGTACAGGAAGATCAGACCTCGCGAATGGGGCGGACACGAAAGGGGGGCGCCGTTCGATGCTCCATGAGGACATTCCTGCCAGCCGAACGCATAGAGCGCAGGCCACTACCTGCCGTACTTGGGCATGTCAGCTTGAGCAACAGCGCGAGCTCTCGCGGATGTCGTAGTAGACAGAGGAGTAGATTGCCTCGTAGAGAAGAACCCCGAAGGCCAAGCTTGCCACGCGAAGGCCCACCCGTATTCACCTGATGATCCGAGTTGTGAAGCGGACGGAGGGTCATGCGCAACAAGGCGATAAAGAAGAGTGAATGGAAGATCGCATTGGTGAGGATGCTAGAAACGTCGTGTATGGGCGTTTCTGGAAGCCAGCGAGGCTAACGTCCAGCAGGGTGTCTGGACACTTATTACTCACATTGTCGTGTCGAAAGTGAACCGGAAAGAAGGCAAGTGTAACGTGACTCGGTCATGCGATGCTGTTGAAGCCGCTACCCCGTGTGAGACCCGGGTCATTCATCGCCCTAAAGCCATCCGTAACACGTTGTTCTCAACCAGCCTCGGCTACACTGAGAGGACCACTTTGAGAGTCGAGAGCAGAAGACACAAGTCGCTGATCAAGCGGAAAGGAAGGATAATCAAAGATCGAGCTACTTGAACAATTCTGGACGTTTGAAACACCTTCGCGCGTGAATGCGTTCTCTCCGAAGGCCTTACTCCGTAGTTTTCGACCTCGTTGAATGCAAACCCCAGTGAGACCCCAGTGAGACACCGTTGAGCAGCACAATCATACCAAGACGCGTCTCTCGGCGATTATCCCTCCGCGAAGTTGGGCTACTGTGACCTCAGACCTCAAGGTGCTTGATGGTAGAACGAGGAGCTGTGCGCTTGCCGTAAACTGATCTCGACGCCTGTGTGGCACTTGCGCTCGCCTCCTTCTCATTCCTTCACCCGCAGACCTCCCATTCCTTTAAGCGCCTTCATGGTACCACAGATTCCGTTGGAGGATTACGATGAGCTCGAAGTGCTCGACACCCTTGATGGCCCTTTCGGCACCTCGGGAAGAGCGTCAAAGCCCGACTTGCTCAGGAAAGTGCACCTAAGGTACAAGCATGACCGCCAGAACCGAGGTGCGCCAAGACTCGAGACCGAAGTGATCGACTGGGTGAATGTGAGGTAACTCGAGAATTTGCCATACTTAGCTAGTGTCACCGCATCAAGGGAGCTGAAAGTGAGGGCTGAGACCGCAAAGATACCCGGGGAGTGTCCAGACGAAGCTGGTACAACTGGAATGCGAAGTACACTCAACCGACGTGAGCTCCGGAATGCGCGGAGATGGCTCGGAGCTCAGTTCCTCCCGAAAGTCGCATCGCGGAACACGAGAAGCAGTCGGCACAGATAGCACACCCGAACGCGGATTTATGCTGCGACAACGTCAAGCAGCATTCAGGATGTGACCGCCAGAGTACCGTGTATTGTCACTCTGCTGACAACCATTAGGTGCAGTCATATGACCTGTTCTCGCCGCACATGCATCTGGACCAGCTGCTGCAAGGGAGTCACCTGAACGGACTGATGCCAGCGGTGCACCTATAGTATAGCGCCTTCGCTTTAGCAGCTCAAAGAGTTGGAGTGTCATGCTCAATAACAGGCATTTGTGGAGTGGCACGTTGTCACAACCAAACGTAAGCAACTAAGGAAATTAACTCAGGCATCATGTGACCCTCTTCCCGGATGTTTCACATGTCCGAGCCGCAATGACATGCCTCGATGGACTCGCACAGCTCGGTTTGGCTGAGCTGATTGTTTGTCTAAACTTCGCATACATAGGCAAGGCGCACACCGCTCCAGCGTCAGGCTGTTGCCAAGTCGAGAGTAGGGGCAATCTCCTTCGCAACAGCCGATAACAGTGCATTTAAAGTCCTATGGTCTTTGCCCTGAGCCTTGTTCTAGCGAAGGCCGCAGGTCTTTGGAAGGATATGAAGCTTACGGCCTCTGGGGCCCGCTTGGCGGGCTGGGCAGCGTGCCGTGCATGCTCATAGGCCTGGGCTGCCCCTCAGGAACGAACACCCACTGGCCGGACTGGTGCCCGGACGCAGGCGCGGATCCAGGCTGAGGCGCATATCCAGGCTGGGGGGCGTATCCGGGCTGAGTTGGGAAGCTGGGCTGAGTCGGATAGCCGGGCTGGGGTGCGTACGCAGATTGAGCGAATCCACCTGGCGGAGGAGGAGCATATCCGCCTGGAGGAGGGGTCGCATACCCGGCCTGGGCGGGATACCCAGGCTGCGTGACGTCTGGCTGGGGGTATGCAGGATACACGGCGTTCGGCTGGGCGGGCATCTGGGTGGTGGGAGCGCTGTATGGCAGCACAGTGGGTGTGGAAACCCCGGTGGTGAGGCCAGGGGTAGAGGCCGTGTCGGTCCACTTGGGCGGTGGGGGCGGTGGGATGGTGCCTTGCATGGCAGATTCCGGCATGGCGAAGCGGCTTCGCCATCCCGCAGGAGTGTTGTGGTGCACTTTGGTATAGATGGCCTCAAAGAGCATAATCACAATTGCGAGGCAAGCCACGGACAAAGGAATTATCGCGAAGTACATCATCCTGATCGGACCCCTCACCTTAACCACGGCCAATGTTGATAATGAGACTGCGGACAGGAGGAGGGCGGAGACAGACAACGTGATAACGGTCGTGCGGACAGCGATAGCCCGCAATGCCGGGTTGAGATGGGATCCAAGGAGACTGGGTCAGGCGGCACACAGGATAGACTTACTAAGCTAAGACGAAACCGTAGATGAGAAACTGGACAAGTGTAAGGATCAAGCCGATGATGCCAAGGTTGAGTAAAAGGGTTAATCCTCTATTGTGCCAATTGAACATCGCATCTTGGAATGAGCGGGATCCACAAGGAAACTCACATAGGCAGTCGGAAAAGCCGTAGAAGCTTCCTCCAAGAGTTAACAGGCCCAAAAGGACGTACAGGACAACCTGGGCTGTGCGGGCAGGCGGTCGGGGCGCGACAATCGGACCAGGAGCTGCTGCAGGGTTGTCCTCGGGAAACGTAGTCTTCCACCCCAAACCGTAGGAGACAGTATACACCACGAGGAAAATGACCACGGAGAATATCTGAAGTGAGATGTGGTGCTAGTCGCCTGCTTACGAGGACAGCCTTTGCATAGCTGACGTTTGCTGCAAGCCTGCTGTCAGTCGATTTGGGAGGTGGAGGTGACATACTCCCATACCGTAACGTAGTTTATGGCAGCCTCTACCAACGATGCCACGACAGCGGTTGCGAGGCCCAGAGCTTCCACTCTCGTGGTAATGGATTTCTGTCGGTGCTTGCGGAGCAGGAGGGCGCCAACGAAAAGGAGGATGAGGATGTCGATGGCGAGGCCCACAGGCGCTGGCCATTTTACCTCAATCAAGAAGACATCATCCCCAATGAGTTGTCCGCGTGCGAGCACCTTTCGTCCCCGACGTCCGCCGCCGCCACCGCCGCCGCCACCGAAGCTAAAGGATGGGGATGTGCTCCTTATGTTCTGAATGTTGATGCCGAAGGTCACAAGGTTGAAAACGAAAATGGCCCACAGCAGGAGAATTTCGGCTAGGCGTGCCCGGCGATGGGGGCCGGCTTGAGACATGCTGGTTGAACAAGTGGGAGGAGGAGTGGCCGCTCAGTTCAACCGAAGCACTCCCTTTAATATGCTTCAGCGCATCCCGCTCCCTCCCCACAACAACAGGACGAATGCTGTGTCCTACGTCTCGTGTCGCCCACTCGAGGCCAGCATGCTTGATTTCAGGTACAGTAAAGCTTGTGAAGGCCGCGATCCGTCTAAAACGCATTAACCCTCCTGTCGTCAGGAAACCCGGGAAACTAAACTCGTGACGTTACGAAACACCGCCACATTCGCCGAGGGGAGCAGGGACAGCCTGGGTTGTCGTGCCTTGGACCTCAAAGCGTGGGAGCGTCAAGCGTGCCGGTAGTGGTTATGGACAGGGGCCTCATGCCAAGCATCAGTATGGTTACGGCGTAAAACGGTTAGGTTGGTCATGCACTGGCGGCGGTGCATTGTCCTTGCGCACATGACGGGCGAGGGGTATCATTCACCGATCCATTACATGCATGTTAGGCTGGACACCGCCTTCGGCCTTCGCAGACGCTTTCCGATCGGCCGACCAGTCTGCTGGAGTATCACTACATCGGCCGACCAGTTCGCTGGATATCACCACGGCTGGCACGCTGGCAGCGTCGACTTCACGCCTCGTTATATCAGTCGGTAGATTAAATGACTCTTAATGCGGCATTAGCTGGTTGATCATTCGGTCGTGGGTTCGAGCCCCACACGAGGCTAGTTTTTGGTTAGGACTGTCTCGGATGTGAATTGCACATCTTCAGCCCTGCAGCCTGCGCCCGTGGCTTTGAACTTGTCCTGCGTTGGCGAAAGAGCGACAGACCCGTGGAGGATGTTAGTGGCAGGATATGCGGCGGAATGGGCCTTATGTTGCACTGTCTTTGATGTATCCGGCCCGATGGAACGTCCTTCATCAGAACGAGGACGCAACCCGATGTCAACTCCAACTTACCATATTTCCCATTAGTGGGCGCCCCATTGTGCGGCGTCCGCTCACATCTGTGTCGTCTGTCCTCGATACCCCGAGGCCGTGAACGTCACCTTCGCCATGCTATCGGCGCCCACACTGGTGCCATAGCCGCCTTCTCCGAGTTCTGTGCGTCACTGTCCTCACCTATCTGCGCCTTACCCCCCCCCCCCCCCCCCCCCCCCCCCTCTGGTACTTCGCCTCTACGTGCGTGAGCGCCACCTGCCTCCGCGAGAAGATAGCACACACTCCGCAGCGACGCGCGCCGACGTCAGGCCTCCAACGCTGCAGGGCGCGCTCGTCACCGCAACTGCGACGTTACATCTCGCCTCTCCATCGCACCATTCATGTTCTCTCTCACCTTCAGCATGGTCCTCAACTCGCGCACGCCCACCACACCAATGCCCGCACGCACCCCGCCTCCTGCCAACGCAAGCGACGCCGACACGGACGTCACCGACGCCGCCACCGTCGTGCCAGTCTTTGCGCGCGGCAGCGTCTCGACGCAGCTGCAAGACTGGCTTGCGGCGCGCTCGCTCGCCATCTCCCTGCCGCACCGCACGCCCGTCGACCCCAAGACAGTGGAACAGCCCGCGCGCCGCAAGACCAAGCCCAAGCCCAAGCCCAAGACGACGTACGACCCCGCGTCCCCGTCCGACGTCATCAACTTCAGCCTGGACGCGACGGAGCGTCTCTCGTGCGTCCCCCGCGTCACGCTAACGCCAGCTGGACGTCGCTCCTCGTCGTGCTCCTCATCCTCCCCTCGGCGCTGGTGTACGCCGTCTTCCTCCGCCTCATCAGCACCGCCGCGTGGCTCACCGCGGCGCTGTGGACGCCCCTCTCCGAGTTCTGGTACGCCCTTCTCTCCTATCCGTCCGACACGGCGCAGCGGCGCGCATACCTCCTCCGCGCGGCTGCGCGCACCACCCTCATCCTGCGCGCGTGGCTCTTCCTCGCCTCCCGCTTCGGCTTCGGCTTCGGCTTCGGCTTTCTCCCCGTCCCCGCCTGGCGCCTCACCCCGACGTTTACGTGGGCATCGCTCGCCCTCGCGCTCGCCCTCGCGATCTGCCCCATTGCCGCCCTCGCGGCGCTCGTCGCCGCAATCCTCGCCCCGATAAAAGTCATTGGGCACCACCTGTGGCGGTACGGCCCTGCGTACGTCTTCCTCGTGATGGTCGCCGCGAACGGGTACGGCGTATATCTCCTCGTGCGGTACGTCAATGCACACGAGGCGCCGCGCGGCCCCAAGCAGGTCATGCGCGAACTGGAGGGGCTGCGGGCCGAGCTCGAGGGGCTGCGCAAGGCGGGGAATGCGTGAGGTAGCGTGTATGAAAACCCGATATGTTATTTTCCGGGCAAGTCAGTGCCGAAGTCAGGTCTGGACGAGAGCGTCAGCGTCGTTTAGCTGACCTTGGATGTTGGTCGCTGAGGCCGTGACGCTGGGGCGCATGACGGCTTGGAGGTCGTTGATTAGTGCCACATGGTGTCGTCGCTCGTGCCATCACGACGCCTCGATGTCAAACTTGTACAAACGACGTCGGCTTTGTCGATGGCGCTGAGAAAGCCAGGGTGAGTCTGCGCTGTACGCAAACTGTGTCCGCCGTACGCGGCCGCCATTCGATGACGTACATTTCGCATTAATCGCCCTTGGTCATCCCAGATCCGATCACCCCACTATGACCCTCCCAAAACCTACTCCTCGTCGCTGGCCTGCACACGGCGCGCTCTGGTGCGCGACGCCGGCTTGTCCTTTGACGCCGGCTTGTCCTTGGACGCTGGCGCCTTTCTCGAACTCGGCTTGTCCTTGGACGCGGGCTCCTTCTTCTCCTTGGACACAGGCGCCTTCTTCTCCTTGGGCGCCGGCGCCTTATCCTTGGGCGCCGGCGCCTTGTCCTTGGACGCAGGTGCCTTCTTGCTCGCCGGCTTGTCCTTGGACGCGGCCTTCTTCACTGCGGGCTTCCTCTTCGCCTGCGCGTTAGACACTCGCGTGCTTGTCGCCATCTCACCTTGGGCTTCTCGTCCTCGCTCTCCTCGTCCTCGTCTTCAGACTCCTGCTTGCGCTTGCGCCCCTTTGGCTTCGGCTTTTCCTCCTCGCTGAGCGAGAGCTCGGCTTCGCTCTCCTCCTCCGTCATCTCCGGCTCGGACTCGGACGGCGTGTCCGCCTTCTTCTGTTATTAGCTAGTCCCGCCCAGGTCTCACTTTAGACTTCTTGGCTGGCGCCTTCTTCGCAGCGGCCTTCTTCGCCGGCTTCTTGGGCGAGTCCCCGTCGCTGTCCGCCGCCTTCTTCGCCGGCGCCTTCTTCTTAGCGGCGGCTTTCTTGAGCGCGGCCTTCTTCGGCGACCCGTCCTCGTCGTCCTCGCCATCGTCTTCCCCCTTCTTCGCCGACTCGGGTATGTCGCTCGGGTCTACGTGACCCGTCTTCCATGCCTCGATGATCTTCTCTTGGAATGCCTCGCTGAGGTCAGCGCCGGTGGGGGAAGGTGACGCACGGGAGCTCGTCAAAGCCGTCCAGCTCGGATGCCTCGTCGTAGTCCTCCTTCAGGTGGTTGATGACCTTCTCCGAGGTGCCTATGGTTAGCAGTGGCGGAGGTTGGGTCGGAGTAGTCGTCGCGCGATGGTGGAGCTGCGAGCGACTGCGCACAACATGTTCTCATAAGCAGTCTCTCCTTCCCTTATGCCTCCATTAGATTTGCCAGCCTCGCCAAGCCCCATTTGAACAACCTTGACTCCTCACCCACCCACCGTGGCCTCATCACCTCAAAACCCGATGAGCACACTCACATCCCCAGTGGCGCCACTTGAAGGACCCGCGGTCTTGGAACGCGACCCACACGCCGAGGCGCAGTTCGCCCTTGGCAATCTTGGTACCATGACACGGCTTGGGGCCGTTGCATCCTGCGCGGGCGGAGGGAGCAACCTCTACGCGGTATCCGGACATGATTGCGAGGTGAGTAGTGAGTAGTAGTAGTGGTTTGTTGTTGGGAGAGTGAGTGGCGTCGAGGCGGCGGTGGGGAATTAGGGATGGAATGGATGATTGGATTGTCTCGGCTGGGACGCAGGGCATCACGTCAATAATGACGTCGAATTTGGTGGAATTCAATCTCACTGCGGGGCAACGCTTTTGATAAGCCACTTCGAAACGGAAGGCACGCTCGCTGTCTATTATTGGGGGAGCTCTCCACTTACGCAGTCCCCGACGCCGGCGACAACCGACCCGACTCCCAACCAGTGAGGGATATCGTCGTCCGCGTGCCCGTCGGCGGGTGCGTCGTGCAAAACTTGTCACGCAGCTCGTCGAGGTCGTTCAGCAGCGGCCACTCGTTCGGCGTGATGCATGATGCATGAGGACGCTGGGACGCTGCGAGGCCGAGACTGAGTTGTGTCTCGAGGCCGATCGGAGGCGTCGCGAGGGAAATCAAAGAGACGCGTCGCATCACTGACTCGTCGCCGCCACCCACTAGCCTTTGTCTCACACATGCTCTCTTGATCTCTTGCCCATCACCCACCGTCTTTCCGTCGTCTCATAAACCGTTGTCACTGCCAGCTGCCACCGTCGCCCCGACTGTCACCGACAACAGCCCACCTCTATCGGCATTGAGAAAGGGGTAAAATATATAGCGGAGCGCGGAGGGAGCGCTGCGCCATCCAGGGTCATTGCTGCGGTCGATCTCGGTACCTCCCCTGTAACAGCCCGTCCAATCCTTGAGTAACCTGACAGTCCACGTGCGGCAAGTGGTGAATCCCACCAACACACAGCTGCTCATCATCATCATCGTCTTGCTCGCACATAACAACAACGTCTTCCTCTCTCTCTTTCTCTCGCCACACTCGTCACTCCCTCGCCGTTATCCCCCGACCTCAACTGGCACCTTGACATTCGTTGCGAGGTCTTGTACGCACACTCTCCCTACCCCCTAACCCCCCCCTCCATTGGCTTGTGACCATGCCAGACAAGGACAAGGAGTCAACAGGCACCTCGCCCCCGCCGGCCCCGCCGCCGCCCTCTTCAAGTCTGACCGCTAGTGGACGACTCGGACAACAAGCGCAGGGCAGCGCCCAGTCTTCTGCTGCCGCTGCTGGTCCTGCATCATCCCCCACTCCCACGATCCGCCCTCCCGCAAGAGTCCAGCCACCTTCCCCCTTGGGTCTCTCCGGCATGCCTCCTCACACTTTCTCTGCTACCACTCCGCAGAGATCTTTGGGTCGAGGACGGCCTAGACCACCTACAAACTTTGTGAGCTCTTCATCTTCTGCGCTGTGACTCCGTATTCTAACCAGCAGGGAATCGGTGGCATCAGCACGCCCCAGACTCCCCTCTCCCCCTCTCCAGATCCTCCGGGTATGCCCATCCCCCGTCGCCACCGTGGCTCAAACGCTTCCAGTGTGACCGATGAAGAGGACCACGCCACCCCGCGCAACACCGGTTACTTCCCGCAGATGCCAGAGTCACGCCGCGTGAGCGAGGTGCGTGGGCTTCCCTCGGGCGCCCAGTCACCCCTTCCTCCGACCGCTGGCTCCATAGGCCAGGGACGTGCACCGCGTCCCAAACTCACCACAACCGCACCTGCTTCGGCAGCTCCTTCTCGCTCGGCGTCTCGCGTGCGTCTCCCCCAACTCAAGGACATGGACGATGACGAGGACGACGAACTGAACGTCACTGATCGCGGCGAAGAACTCATCCGCCGTCGTCAGAAGGAACGCAAGCGCGCCAAGCGCGAGCGCGAGCGTCGCGCCCTTGCCGAGATGGAGGTCGGCGAGGAGGATGAGGCCGGCGACAACCTCCCCGCTTCGGCGATGAGCGAGGGCAGCGTTCTCATGTCCCAGCCCGGCCAGAGCCCCGTGCGCGGGTACAACCAGAGCTCGAGCTCTTCGCGTCACCGGGCGGCGGGCGGCAGTCGGCTTGTTTCAGGGAGCGCCCTACTGTCTCCTCGTCCTGCTTCCGAAAGCGTCGAGCGCGAGCCCTCGTCGGCTGGCCGCCCACGTGCCGAGTCGGTACAGTCTCGCGCAGTCGATGACGATGAGAGTCGGGAGCGCCTTGCTGTGCCCCCCGTGGAGGTTGATGCCACGACAGACGGGTATCATTCCGATAGCGAGGGATCTGCTATGGACGACGACGAGGACTCGGACGACGCCAGCCCAGACGACGGTGAGGGCGTCACCGTCAAAGATCGCCAAGACGTGAGTGACCGTGCGAGGAAGGTGCTGATCCTTCTAGGCTATCAACATTGAGCACCCCTTCGGCCTGCCTATCTGGAAGCCCGCGCTGTACCGCAAGTCGCGCTCGGTGACTCGCAATGCCGAGGCGGCTTTGCACTCGGCACCAACGAGTGACAGCCACAATCTCCTTCTCGGGAACATCTTCTGGCTCGTTGCTTTCGGATGGTGGCTTGCACTCGTATGTCTCTTCGCTGCCATGCTTGTGAGCGGTGCGGAGGTGCTTGCGGGCGGCCGCGGCGGTTACGGTCGTTTGACTCGCGGCTTGGCCTGGTACATCTGGTGGCCCTTCGGCAAGTATGTCGAGGGAGAAGGAGCTCCACACGAGGACTCGAGCAGCAGCGACGAAGAGGTACACCACGATGAGGAGAACAACACAAGCAGCTACGGTGCGACGTCGTCGAGCAACACTCCCCGCCGTGCTCTCTCTGCCTCGACTTCCTCGTCTACTACAGTGCGCCAGACTGCGGCTTCGGCACTCGACATGCTTCCGGACGAGCCTCACACACCTCAAAACCAGGCTTCAATCTCAGCGCAGCAAGCAGGCCGCAAGCATGGCGTGTCTTTTGCGCCTGGCTGCAAGATTGGCACTCCTGACCTCGAGAACGTCCCGCTACTCGGCAAACCTCCCGCCACCGCGTGCTTCCGCAAGCATGTCAACAAGCGTGCAAAGTTCGCTGGCTCGCTTGTTTACTGGCCCGTGTTCTTCCTCATCATCGCTCCCACCATGCTCACTATCTGCATCATCTGCTGGTTCCTCGTCGTCACGATCCCCATGGCCAAGCTCAACTGGGAGCTTCTCGAGCTTCTATGGAATCGCCCGCTCGAGATCGGCTTCCGTCCGGCTCCTACAGTGCCGGTGTATGACCTGCCTCCTGCCTCCGACAACAGCGAGAACGGCAACGGCGATGTCTCGGACTCGCCCATTGGGTACACGCTCCGCCGTGTCCGCATCAACGCAGGCCAGGTCGCTCCTACTCCGGGCCCGGCGTCGACAGTCCTCCTGTGCGTTTACCGCGCTGTTGGTATCCAGTACTGCAAGTACACGGTCGGCGGTGTGAACATTATGTTCATCAACCTCATGCCGATCGTGTTCTTCGCGATTATTGATGGGCTGATCATCTTGCCGGCGGTGGAGCATCGCCACGAACATCACCAGAGCGTACCCAAATGGCTCGACTTCATTGCCAACCCTGCACTCGTCTTCCTCCTGGGTCTTGCCTCTGTTATCCCACTATCGTACTTCATTGGTATGGCTGTCGCTTCGATTTCCGCGCAGTCCTCAATCGGCATGGGCGCGGTCATCAATGCGACATTCGGCTCCATCATCGAGATCGTGCTGTACGGCATTGCTCTCACGCAGGGCAAAGGAAGATTGGTAGAGGGCTCAATCGTCGGGTCCATTCTCGCCGGTGTGCTTCTCATGCCTGGCATGTCGATGTGCTCTGGCGCCTTGAAGCGCAAGGAGCAGAAGTTCAACGCCAAGTCAGCTGGTGTCACGTCGACCATGCTTATCATGGCGATCATTGGCGTGTTGACGCCCACGATGTTCTATCAGTCGTATGGCAACTTCCAGCTCCGCTGCGAAGGTTGCCCTCAGCCTGACGATGGTGGCGTGCTGAACCCCGGCGACTCGTGGCGCTGCGATCGCTGCTGGTACCAGCACCCCGCGCCGGAGTCGGACCCATTCTACCAGAGCAACGTCAAGATTCTCATGTACATTTGCGCGGGCATCCTTTTGCTCGTACGTTTCAGACATGAGTAGGAGCGACGCTAACGTCAGTCATACTTGATCGGCCTATGGTTCTCCTTGCGCACACACGCGTCCCAGATCTGGCAGAACCCACAGCAGCTGATGCAGAAGGAGGCTGAGCAGCTGCAAATCCCTCGCGCGCACCTTGCGCGTATCACGCCGGCTAACCTCAACAACCCGATCCTGCCAGTTCACAGCAAGCCCGAGTCTATCCGCGACGGCGTATCGCCCATGAGGCCGATGACTATGTCGATTGCGCAGTCATCATCCCACGCGAAGAACGCAGCGCCTCATCGCCCCGACGCCTCGCCGCGCCCTGGAACCTCTCCGGTGAAGTACGGGGCGCAAGCGTCGCCGCGCCAACCTCTGCGCCCGGAGTTGGGCGAGCAGGCCGGTGGACAAGCACAGACCGTGCACACCGGGTACACGCCTTATCTGCAGGCGCTAGAGCAGAACCGCAACATGGACCCGATGGCGCTCGGCCCCCAGTTGACGTCCGAGGATTTCCGTCGCGCGGTGCGCACGCTTGCAGCCGTTACCGAACTACAGCGGAAGGGAGAGGCCCACCCGCACATGGAGGAGGCAGGCGGGCACGAAGCACCGTCATGGACTCGTGGGATGTCCGCTGCTGTTCTGCTGGGCTGTACGCTGCTGTACGCTGCGATTGCCGAGGTGCTCGTAGACGTGGTTGACGTCGTGCTGGCCGGCTCGGGTGTGGACGAGAAGTTCCTCGGCCTCACGCTCTTTGCCCTCGTGCCCAACACGACCGAGTTCATGAACGCGATGTCGTTCGCGATGAACGGCAACATTGCGCTGTCGATGGAGATTGGCTCGGCCTACGCGCTCCAGGTCTGTCTTCTGCAAATTCCCGCCATGGTCGCGTTCTCGGCGTGGTACTCTCCAAAGGAGTTCGGCGATGTCGTGGACACGTTTACGTGAGTTGATCGCGGCGAAGCACGCTATGCAATCTAGCTGACCCCAGTCTCATCTTCCCGCGCTGGGACGTCATCGCCATCATCCTCGGCATCTTCCTGCTCACGTACACGTACATCGAAGCACGGTCCAACTACCACCGCGGCTCAATTTTGGTGCTTTCGTGAGTGCTGTTTGTTGACACCCACTGATACCAGGTACTGCGTCCTCATGCTCGGCTTCTACTTTGCTCCTGTGCGGGACAACGAGGACGAGGGCATTATTGTGGGCGGGCCGTGGGCTACGGCCGCCGGCAGCGTGGCCGACACCATGGCGGTGGCCATCACCAAGTTGTGGGCATAGGAGGGGGCGGAGCGTCCCAAGACGCACAGACTCGGCGACTTTAGTCGATTGTGCATCCTGCCTAATAGCACTCATTCTGTCATCATTCTAGTCTTGTTATGAACTTGTATGTCGCGTCGGAGTATGGAGAGGGTTGAAGTGTCTTCTGGGATGGGGTTCGCGAGAGGTGGTCTGACAAGAGGTTGGGAGGTAATAACCGACAGCGGGACGTGCGAGGGCATGCATGGTATGTATCGGAGTCACCTAACAGTACCACATACCACAGAGTTCTCACTCGCTCGTGCTCAACATGTCAGTGGGTGGTGACAGCGACGACACACAATGCCGTGCAACTCTCCGCCAACATTCCGCGATCTGCGAGACAAACTCGCCAAACACCGACGTCATCTTGACCCGATCACCCGCCCAAGTTCCGGCCGGTACTATCTATGCACATGCATGTCTATACAAATCTGGGCGCGCCAGCGTTCGAGAACGGCTTATGCCATGTCGCCCGCTCGCGCGCCCCACCGCCTGCTTCCACATGCACTTGACTTCCGCAACTGGTCGCGATGTAGCGCGCCAGCTGGCTCCCTGTCTCCCGACGTCTTCCGAGTACCACTGTACCCCTCCCTCATGCTATGCCTTCCGCCTCGCTTCGCTCGCCTCACTTGGCCTCCCGCTCGCCCAGGCTGGCCGTAGGCCGGCCAAGGCTCGCTGATCCCTCGCCCCGCTCCGACTCACAGAGCCCTCGCTTCGCACGGGGCGCAAGACGCGCTCACTCGGTAAGGTTGTATATCTTCTGGATGTCCTTGAGGATCGCGGCAAAGTCGATCTTGAGGTCCTTGAGGTGGCCCGTGCGGAAGTCGAACACCCAGCCGTGCACAATAGGGTATCCGTTCTCGGCGTAGTTCTGCTGGAGGGCAGCGGTCTTGATGACGTTTCTGCACTGCTCAAGGACATTGAGCTCGACGAGGCGGTCGTAGCGCGCCGCGCTGTCGGTGATGCTGTCCAGCTCGGCCTCGTGGATGCGGTACACGTCGCGGATGTTACGCAGCCACGGGTTGAGGATGCCCAGGTCCTTGGCCGTCATGGCGGCCTGGACGCCGCCGCACCCGTAGTGGCCGCACACGATGACGTGCTTGACGTGGAGGTGGCGCACGGCGTAGTTGATCACGGACATGACGTTGAGATCGATGTTGTTGACGAGGTTGGCGATGTTGCGGTGGATGAACGCCTCGCCGGGCTGCATGCCCGTGATCGTCTCGGCGGGCATGCGCGAGTCGCTGCACCCGATCCAGAGGTACTCGGGGGTCTGGCCCGCCGAGAGCTTGGAGAAGAAGTGCGGGTCGCGCGCGATCTGCTCCTCGGCCCACTGGCGGTTCGCCGCGAAGATCCGGTCGTGGCTCTGCTCGAGGTAGTCGGCCATGGCGGGGGACGTGATGTCGCGTTTGAGAGAGGGCGTGGGGCTCTTGGGCTTGGGCGTGGTGCAGGACGAGTGCTGCCTGGCGAGGAGGGGAGAGCGGAGAGAGCGGAGAGAGCGGAGAGAGCGGAGAGAGCGAGGAGCCAGACGGAGCATTGGACGTGGGAGTTTTATCTCGACGGAGCAGAGCTGTGGGTGGTGGACCTGGTTGTTGGGGCGGGAGTCTGGACGCTGCAAGCGTGGGGGGGATAAGAAAGAGTGGAGCGACAATTGGCCAAATTCCGCATTGGGCCCGAATGTCATTCGCTCCTCAAATCTGGTGACTACCCGACTCGCTGCGCTCGGCAGATCGGCACATCCCCGGCGTGGGGCGGCGTCGCCAGGGGCTCTCGGGAATGCTCGCTCCGTGCGCTCCGTGCGCTCCGTGCGCTCCGTGCGCTCCGTGCGCTCCGTGATCCGTCGACGTCAGCAGGAAATATTACAAGTTGAATACATGTAGATTGCGTATTATATGCGGTTATTATACCATCCGGAAATGCCCATGCTCAGCCTGAGCCTGCTACGCCCTACGCGCCCAGCTTGTCCCGCGTCGCGGCAGCGATCTGGGGTCAGCACAGACGATCGACAACGTACCATGTCGCGCACGGCCGGCGCGGCCTCGGCGTCGATCTCGAAGCTGCTCGCCTCGCTCCCGCTGCCGATTGTGTATGACGCGGAGCTCGGGAAGCGGAGGGAGGGCGATGGCGTGGAGAAGACCGGGGAAAGCTCTACGGTCGGCGGGGGCGGGGGAGGGGGCAGCATTGGGGTGTGCGCGAGGTCGGTGAGGACGTTCTGGATTTTCCAGAGGAGAGATGGCATGGTGGCGGGGTGGGGCGTGGTGGGTTGTGGGTTCGATAGATTGGCGGGAAGATGCGCGAGACGCTATTATAAAGAAACAGACAAGTATGTGTAAGAAGCAGATGTGAGAGATGCAGAGGTGACAAAGCTCCATCTCAGAGCACGACACGATCAAGTCCGGCGGCGACGATTATTGATTGACTCGGGCTCGGCGTCGCGGAGCAACCTCGGCCGCCGTCACACCTTTCGACGTCATGTGCCTGGCCCGACGGGACTTATCCGCTCCCCTCGTTGTTGAGGGGCGGATAGCCACGTGGCAGCCTTCACGTGGCAATACTCCCGCCGCGGAGTGTACTGCCCCACTCCTCCTTGGAACGTTCCTGGCCCGATTCCGGCGCGTGATCGACGGCCAAGTCGCGCTGGAACCTCCTCCTACAGCCTCCGATCCTCAACAACAACATCTGACTCTCCCTGCATTGCCTGCTCTGCTCCTGCTTCCCGACGCTCCTTGACCGACCCCAGCAACATGTCCCGCCTCGCCGTGATCCTCGCCGGCGCGGCCCTCCTCGTCGCCGTGCGCGCTGGTGCTGTAAGTCTGTGATGGTGGTGACGTACATCGAGGTGACGGGTCTGTTGTGAATAATGCGCGTTCGTGGTCAAGGATGGGCAAGGAAAACGCCGCATCCAGGACGGTCCGAGCAGCAGCTTGGCCCAAGCCCTCACCGCCGCCTACCCCGGAGTTGGAACTCACAAGCCATTGACTGACCCCAGGCACACGAGCACCACTCGGGCATGCAGCAGTTCTTCGACAAGCTCTTCCCCTTCGAGAGCCCGGCGTATAATTCGAGTGAGTCGGCATTGGCGCGGATGCCTCCAAGGTCGGGGAGGTTGAGGGTTGTTATGGGTGCCGCTGCGACAAGTTACCTCCGGCGGGGTAGTTCGACTGGGATGTGTCTCCATGCCGTCTATTGTTCGCGCAATGCGTCCTTCACACCTTTGCTCGCGCGCCCTGCCATCTGGGCACTCCGCTCGCAGACTTCGCCTTCCAAACTCTCTGCTTGCGCGCGCTCGTGCTCGCGCCTGCTTTTCCTCTATAGTGCCCTGCTTTGGGATTATCTTTGTCACCACGCCCTCCTTGACTGTCTTGTATCCATTTCAGCTGGCCCACTCGCATGCCGCCCCTCTCCTCATCCCTCCCTCCTGTCATATTCGCCGCCTTCACACCATTAATTCACTCACACCAGTCCTCGCAACCTTCTACATCTCCTCCGTCCCCAACTTCATCCTCCTCGCCGTACCCGCCGACCTCGAGCCCAGCAGCCTCAACACCATGATCGCCTTTGCGACAGGTGGACTGCTGGGCGACGTCTTCCTCCACCTCGTCCCCCACGCATTCTTCGGCGAGCACTCATCCGGGGCTGTTGTCGTCGACGAACGACGGAATATCGTGATCGGAGGCGCCATCTTCCTCGGCTTCGCCGCCTTTTTCGTCCTTGACAAGACTATGCGCGTGCTGAGCCACGTCTCTGGCGGCGACGGCGGCGGCCACTCGCACAGCCACGGGCACGGCCACAGCCACGGCGGCCACAACCACAGCCACGGCACCTCGAGCGCGATCGCCAAGTCGGGAGGCGAGTTGCGCAAGCGCAAGAATGGCGATACCGCCGAGATCACCGACGAGATTGAGGTGAAGGAGGAGAAGAAGCAGCCAAATGCCTCCCTCCGCCTGTCCGCCTACCTCAACCTCTTCGGCGACTTCACCCACAACATTACGGATGGTCTCGCTATGGCCGCCTCGTTCTACTCGTCTCCCGCTCTCGGCGCGGTCACGACGATCGCTACCTTCTGCCACGAGATCCCGCACGAAGTTGCTGACTACTCGATTCTCATCAAGTCTGGCTTCACTAAGTCACAGGCGATGGGGTCGCAGTTCTTCACGGCCGTCGGCGCGTTCGTCGGCACCTTCCTGGGCATCTGGATTGCCGAATCGGCGGGTGTCAGCGATGCCCACATCGTCAAGCCTGGCGAGGGGTTGTTCGGCACCACGGCAACTGGCGCCGAGCTCGTCATTCCCATGACAGCTGGCGGTGAGCTGCTGCGTTTATGATATGCTGACCACAGGCTTCCTCTACATCGCAAGTGTCAGCGTTATTCCCGAGCTGCTGGAAGAGTCGCGCAGCGCTAAGCAGGCACTGAAAGAATACGCTGCAATGGCATTCGGCGTGTTCTGCATGGTGAGTTTTGAGCATGAAACTGGCGGCTGACGTCACAGGCTGTGATCGCGTGGAACGAGTGACGCTGTGCCATAGATGATGAGATGATCTAGTCCAAAATTCGGTGATCGGGGTCTCTGATAGAATTGACCCGTTGTCTCACCTGCCTCACTTGTCTCATCCGAGCATGCGGCAGCTGGCAGAAATGGCAACGCTTACTGGCCAGCACATGACCATGACCAGCTATTTGTTGACCCCACCCCACCCAACCTTGTCGGCCTACAGCGGAAGAGGCGCGGCACTGGCTCTCAATGAAAAAAGCGGCAGGGGCCCGGGCCCGCCGGCAAACAGAGCCAGGGTAGACGTCATAGGCCCGCTCCCCCGAAACTGCCCAACTCGGCAGCCATGAGCATAACCAGCCTGCAAGCGTCTTGGCCACTGGCCGGCCTCGCTCACTGCCCCACCATATGCTCTCGCTCTGGCTCTTGCATCTCTAGTTCTCACTATCTCTCTGCCACATCCATCACCATGGCAGAACACCAAGCCCTATTCACATGGGGCGCAGGTCCAAACTCGGTGAGTCGTTGCTGTTCGTGGATGGATTATTTGGACGACGGCGCACGGATGGGACACGGATGGACGCCGCGATGCGTTGCGCTACGTCTTGCCGTTCCCCATATTCTCCCCCTCCGTGCACCTCCATTCTCTTAACTAGCTCCCCTCCCCCCCCCGCGTTCGCGCTTACCCCAGGTCTCCATCGCAGGAGGCTTCAACGACTGGAGCGCGACCGCGACTCCCCTCATCAAGCAGCCTGACGGGAGCTTCAAGGCAACTGTCTCGGTGCCGTGGGGCTCGACGCAGGCGTACAAGTACATCGTAGACGGCGAATGGATGGTTCGCGAAGACGAGGAGAAGGATTACGATGCCGCGGGCAACCACAACAACGTGAGTGTTTGTACGAGGGGGCCCGAGCGGTCAGCGGCGGGCGGTGAGCAGAGAGCGAGGTAGACGAGCATGAGGCAGGAGCCGCATTGCGCGGCCGAATGAGGGAGACTGGTGGAGCATTGGATGGGGCTTAGGGCGTGTGGGCCAGGTGGAGCGTGCAGCGCGTCGCAGTTTGCGAGCCTTTAACGCGGCGTACATCCGCGAGCTCGACGATATCCCCCGACGGGGATGCGCCGAGTGGTTGGGTGATCGAGTGATGGCGCCGAAACATGCTCGATCCGAGACAATTTCCATTTGAACACATTTTCCGTGGCACTGTTTACATCCCCGAGTGACTACCCCTCCCTTTCCCCGCCGGTGCGGCTGACGCAAGATCTACACTGCCCCAGCGGGCCCGAACGAGCCTACGACGGGCACGGTCCCGACTGGAACCCAGCACTTCGCTGGCGCGAAGGGCACTGACGGCGCCGAGTTCGCTTCTGCGCCTGGCGCAGCAGCTGGCGCCGCGGCGTCCGACCAGCACGTCAAGGACGGCTCGAACACGGGCATCCTCGCCGGTGCCGGCGCCGCTGTAGCGGGCGCAGGCGCGGCCGCGGCCGCTGCGCTCGGCCTCGGCAGCGACAAGGACAAGAACAAGGACGGCATCCCCGACAAGGATCAGACGTCCGTTGGCACGAGCCAGTCCTTCGCTACCCACACCACCGGGACGACCGGCGGTGTCGCGGGTACCGAGCCCGCCGTGAGCGGCACGGGCGTCGGTGCGCGTGACCTCCCCACTACAACCACGGGCGCGACGGGCGCCGAGCTCGAGAAGACAACCTCGGGCGGCTCGAACACCGGCATCCTTGCCGGGGCGGGCGCTGCTGTCGCTGGCGCCGGCGCCGCTGCCGCTGGCATGCTCGGCCTTGGCGGCAAGAAGGAGGAGGAGAAGAAGGAGCCCGTCTCGGGCTTCGTCGGTGGCTCGGGCGTCCCGACCCGCTCGTTCGCTGCTACTGGCGCTGCGGGCCCCGGCGCCGCTGGCCTCAGCTCCTCTGATATGGCCGCCGTTCCCGGCGCCACTGGCACAACCACTACTGCTGCGAGCGGTGCGCCCGGCACGACTTCGACTGGCGCCACGCGCGGCGTCCCAGCGACGTCGGAGCTCGAGAAGACCACCTCGGGCGGCTCGAACACTGGCATTCTCGCCGGTGCCGGCGCTGCCGTTGCGGGCGCCGGTGCGGCAGCAGCTGCGGTCCTCGGCTTCGGCGGTGACAAGGACAAGGACAAGGACGGCGTACCCGACAAGCAACAGCTCTCCGGCACGGCGCCTGGCACCACGCCCTCTGGCACTGCCCCGGCTGCTGGTGCGGCCGGCGCTGTGCCCCCCGGCACGACGCCGCCCGCCATCCCTGAGGCTAAGGCGAGCCAGCTGCTCGCCGCCTCCGCACCTGGCATTGTGACGGAGGAGACCGCCTCCGCCACGTCCACGGACAACGAGAGCGACGGCAAGACGAAGACTGACGCGCAGAGGGCCCGCGAGAAGGCCAAGAAGGTGAGTACTTATCGTTTCCGTGCGAGCTCACACCAGGCGCGCCAGAAGGCCAAGAAGCGCGCAGCGGCCGCCGGCGTGCCCTACGATGAGGACGAGACCACCACCGCCTCCAACTCGGGTTACGTCACGCCCGCCGGGGTGGGCGACGACGACGCGACCCCCCGCCAGAGCGGCAACTACGGCACGGCCGCTGCCGCCACCGCTGCCGGCCTTGGCGCCGGCGCGCTGGGTGCTGCCGCACTCCACAACGAGCGCCACGGTTCGACCGTAGCGCAAGCCGGCTCGTTCGCCGAGCCCTCCTCCCCTTCGCGTGCGAGCACCCGCGCCATTGCCCCCGACACGCCGATGGGCGAGGCGGGCGTTCCCGCTAGCAAGGCGCCTGTTGACGCCACGAGCTTCGACGCCAGCGTCGACGACCGCGGCGTCGCTGCGACCACCTCTGCCGCTCAGGTCGAGCGCGAGTACCTCGCGGCCCAGGGGCACCCGGACGCACGTGCGCGCGAGCTCGCTGGTGCGGGTCTTAGCGGTGACAGCATCGACAACAAGGACCGCCTCCAGTCCTCCCACTCCGGCGCTACTACCGCTGGGGCTGCGCTCGCTGGCGCAGGTGTTGGTGCCGCCGGCGCCTCGCTGCTCAGCAACAAGGACGCCCAGGCGCGTGGGCTCCCCACTGACTCTACTGGCGCTGTGTCCGCCGTGTTGGGCGCTGACCCGACCACCGGAGCCCCGAGCCACCCCAGCACGGCGAACTTCGCCCGCCAGTCCGGCACCACGCCGAAGGAGGGCGAGGTCGCGAAGGAGGGCGAAGGGATCTCAGGCAAGGCCCTGGCTCTCGGCGCCGGCGCCGCCGGCGTCGTGGGCGGAGCCGTGCTCGGCGCCGAGCGCTGGTTCAAGTCCGCCTCGGGCGAGCAGCTTACCCTCGAGGAGGCGCGTGCCCGCGGCATCGACGTCGACCGTCTCCCCGTCCACAATGTGCCTGCGCAGGGCGCTCCGCCCGAGGCCGCTGTCGCGGACCTCCAGGAGATTGTTGACGGTCTGAAAACCGACGAGCGCGGCGTGGCTGGCCAGTCGTTCGCTGCTCAGCCCGCCTCAACAGCGAAGGACGGCAGCAACGCCGGCCTTCTCGCGGGAGCTGGTGCCGGTCTCGCCGGCGCTGGCGCCGCTGCCGCTGCGGCCATTGGCCTGAACAAGGGCCAGACCGAGCCGATCCCTAAGGCCGCCTCGCCCCAGGACGTGCAGATCCACAAGGCTGTGAGCGACGAAGTCGCCGCCGCGGTCCCCACCGCCCCGGCCACGACACAGGGCTGGGGTTCGGCGCAGCCCGAGCAGAAGGGCGGCATCCTCGCCGCCGTCGGGCTCGGCGGCAAACAGCCCGAATACGAGACCGAACCTATCCCTGCCGCCGCATCGCCGCAGGATGTGCGGGCGCACAAGGCGCTTTCTGATGAAGTCGCCGCTGCCGTGCCCACCGCCCCCGCGACCAAGAGCGGCTTCGGCCTCGCCGAGAACAAGGGCCTGCTTGCTGGCGCGGGCGCTGGCCTCGCCGGTGTTGCCGCCGCTGGCGCAGCCGCGATCGGCCTGAGCGGGCGCGACAAGCCCGAGACCGAGCCCATCCCGGCCGCCGCGACGACGCAGGACGTTCGCGCACACAAGGCTGTGTCGGACGAAGTCGCCGCTTCCGTCCCCACCGCGCCCGCTGCCGCCTCAGGCGTCGGCGTCGGGAACACCGAGCGTGGCGTGGGCCAGTCGTTCGCGGCCCAGCCCAAGACCGACACCGACAGGAACAACACCGGCATCCTCGCGGGCGCCGGTGCGGCCGTCGCTGGCGCTGGCGCCGCCGCGGCCGCAGCTATCGGTCTCGGCGGTGCCAAGCACGAGACCGAGCCCATCCCCCGGGACGCTACCACGCAGGACGTGCGCGCACACAAGGCCGTGTCCGACGAGGTCGCGTCCGCCGTGCCGACTGCGCCCGCCACCGCTTCGGGCGTCGGTGCCGGCCCCGCCCCCGAGACCGCTGTCGGGCCATCGCGGTCGTTTGCTCGCGACACCGACGCTTCGGGGAACACCGGCCTTCTCGCTGGCGCCGGCGCCGCCGTCGCTGGTGCGGGTGCGGCAGCTGCCGCAGCCGTGGGCCTCAGCAAGTCGCAGCACGAGACGGAGCCGATCCCCGCCGGCGCGACCACGCGCGACGTGAGGGCGCACAAGTCCGTGTCGGACGACATCGCGGCCTCCGTGCCCACGCAGCCGGCCACGACGGCTGGCTGGGGCTCGGGCTCTGAGCCGCAGAAGGGCGTGCTTGCGGGCGCCGCGTCCGCCCTCGGCTTCAACAAGGCCGAGATGGAGCCCATTCCCGCCGGCGCCACGACGCAGGACGTGCGTGCACACAAGGCCGTCACGGACGAGGTGGCGGGCACTGTCCCCACGAAGGACGCTACGGCTTCCGGCGTCGGCACCAACACCACGAGCAGGAACACCGGCCTCCTTGCCGGCGCTGGCGCTGCTGTTGCTGGTGCCGGCGCGGCCGCTGCCGCTGCTATCGGGCTGAGCAAGGACAAGGACACTACTACTGCCCCTGGCACCGCTGCTGGCACAGGGACCGCTGGCTCCACTGGCACCTCCGGGTACAGTGGTACTACCAGCACCACCGGCGCTACCGATGCCACGGGCACTACCGGCACCGCCGGTGCTACTGGCGTTACTGGTGCTCCGGGCACTACCAGCACTCGAAGCACGACCAGTACCGCCAACATCCCGCCTCTCACCAAGGACACTGACTTTGTCGGCCTCCTCACCGGCCGCAAGTCTGGTCTGCCCTCGACCTCCAGCTTTGCCGCTGCCCCTAGCGGTGCTGCTGGTGCCACTCCTGGCGTTGCCGGCACGCGCGACATCAAGGACCCAGCGCTTGCGCCCGACTCGGAGCGTGGTGCTTCCTACGGTGTCGGCCCGCACGATCCGGCCAAGCACTCGTCCGTTACCCCTGCAGCTGCGGGCGCCGCCCTCGCCGCAGCTGGTGGCGCAGGGTATGCGGCCCACCGCGCCTCGCAGGGTACTGACGCGAACCGTGAGGGCCACGCGGGCCAGTTCGGCTCCGCCTCCGGCCCCACTAGCTCTGCGCGCGGTGCCACCGCGCCAGAGGAGGAGGGGGCCGCAGACGGCACCCTCCCCATTCCGAAGGAGGTGGGCAGCCCGCCCACTGAGTTCCCGACCGCTACGCGGGAGGATCCCCTCGCTGACTTCGCGAGCGGTGGCAAGCCCGACGGCACGGAGAGCAAGCCCGGCGAAGTCGTTGAGACCGCTCCTCTCTCTGAGAAGGACCACGTTGCTGCACGCAGCTCCTCCACTTCAGGTGCGGGTGCCGCTGCTACTGGTGCTGGTATTGGCGCCGCCACTGGCGCCGCTGCCAGCGGTCTCTCGCGTGACCGCGACACGGAGCGCTCCGGTGTGCGCACCGATACGCAGACCTCACCTATCACGACTGGCGCAATTGGCCAGTCCTTCGCTGCGGAGCGTGACCCCACCAACCGTCAGGTCTCATCCGGTGCTCTGAGCACTGATACCTTTGGCGAGACTCCGGAGAAGCAGGACCGCGGCCTCAGCGGCGGTGCCATGGCCGGCCTCGGTGCCGGCGCTGCTGCTCTCGGTGCCGGCGCGTACGCCGCCTCGCGCCGTGACGACAAGAACGATGACTCTCGCGACGCTCGCGGCATCGACAGCGGCCGTGTGGACAACCGAGCGCTCGACAACTCCCAGTCGTTCGCTGCTGGCACCTCGCCGACGCAGCACACCGGTCTCGCTGGCCACACGCACCACCCCGG